TATACGTTAAAATAAGCGTGTAAACTCGATAACCACGGTACGCCACTGAGATGAATTCTCGGTACGCGCTTCTAGAGGTTTCTCCGCCGCCTTTCTAAAACGGCATCCATCGGAGAAACGCGAAAGAAAAGAAGCCGAGCCCTGGAATTGCCCCGTTGCCGCTGTCTGGGTCTCTCTCTCCGCAAATTGTCTTCGGAACGATCCGTTTGTCCGAGAAGGCGCTTCTAGACGCGTATACGTAAAATTGCAATCGCAATCAATGTAGCGAAAGTTTCGCGCCACGATCGTCATTTCTTTGACGCAGTTAATTGCATGAGCGACGTAATAGCACATAATTCAGAAAATTTCTTTTCATACTCTGGGAAGAAAGGGTTAATAATTCTTCTCAATTAAACTCGCTATTTTCGAAATTAGGACGCGACAGAATATTGTGGCGTTTATAAAATCAATATTGCATCGCGCACTTAAAAAATTATAAGAAATAATTGTTCTTTCATTTTTGGATCGTTTAGTTAGATTAAGATAAATTGTATAAGCAATTTTTTATTTTTTTTCTATATTAACCACCCGATACTGAAACTCTTTTCTTATCACGTTTTGCGGGCAAACAATATTCACATAGCTAACTCGGAATAGCGATAATTGAATTCTAAGATAAGAGAAGACCATCTTGACCAGAATAATTAAAGAAATTGTTCGAAAATGAAAGGTTACAAGATTTAAAAGTCACTTTAACCTTTTCAGAGAATAAAACTGAACGAAGCTAGGGTCAAAATCATCAGAATCAAATTATCGCTGTCGGATTACCATAACTCATTGCAATTATATTGATACGCGAATCATTCTTGCTTTTACTATCAAAACGACAAGTGCGTCATCTTCACGGTAGTCATGTGTTACAGAAAGTAACAGTGAGTATAAAATGGTTAAGACCTAATCCTCTTCTTTCCCAAACAACAATCCCCTCGGTATAATCGCGTGCGTAATTACGTGGGAATTAGGAGAGAGAGAGATTACGGTATTGATCAGAGAATTTTTCTCACAATTGCCAAAACGGACCAATCGCAATTCGTCAATTACCCGGCACCGGTGCTCCGTGAGAAATTTCTTTTTCGCTTAAACGACCCGTTCGTAATTGGGCAGAGATGCGAAACGATGCAAAAATCCGACGGACGTCGCCTCGATATTTTTATTTCAGTGCGCTTAGCGAGGGACACCCCGTATATGCTTGTAGAAAGTACGACAAATATCACTGTAAAATCAATTTCTCGCGCGCACCTTGCCTACTTGCGCATTTTACATACAATATGCGCACGCGGTACATGCCACGGGAGAAAGTTTTCGACATTCAGCTTACATCGATCGACAATTCAATTTTGTCACGATGAGTTGCGGCCATCCTGTACTCTAGAAGCCCATTTGGTCTACAACCAAATTAAGACACTATCGGTAGCCGTATGTCACTTTCCAAAATAGGTCTTCCTGCTTCTCTCGATTTTCTAAATGCAGAATTATCTGTAATCATCCATAAACTTGATCTTAAAGTAATTTAAGGCTAATCTTTCACTTTTCTTCTGGGTCCTTTAGTGCTGTTTCATATATCTGTATCTAATTTCATTTAATAGATAAGATAAGATAAGATATTCTGTATATCATGTATGTAATACATTTGCTTAATTTATTCCCTTAAGTTTTTCTAAATGCTTAAATTCTTTTCTCATATTTTTCTAATAAACACGTATCGATGCGTATGCAAGGTATAAGATGTAAGGTAAATACAAGATATATTAAAGTTTTCCCCGCCTCCGGGATAATAATGCAAAATAAACACAAAAACTCGTAATTGTGCTTTTTAGAAATAAACGTTGCTGCATAATCTTCGCAATAATGCGCGAAAATTATTATGTAATTTTGTCCGTTCTTTAATCTCTCATTTCTTTTTTTGCAAATTAACCTCGCGTGGCGTGCGAAGGAAATCTAAAAAAAGTTTATGCCAAAAGGAAATCTAAAGAGGCAATAGAAATCATTAGATGTGGCAGCGAAGGAATTCACAACCGAGCATTCCTAAAGAATGAGATAATCTGACCTTTTTCACGAACACTGCATAGCGTTTGAGAAAACCGCGATCTGTCTGTGCTCCAGTGGATCGCTAGATTTTAACGGTAACGTCTAATAGACGAATAAATCAATCATTATAAAGTAAATGTTTTAAAACTTATATTAACAAGTATAATTAAGAAAGTGTTTGCGTGCGTGCATGTTGCGTGTAGAACGAGTTGTGAAAAACATAACATATTTAAATAGTTTTGTTAGATTTGAAGGTAGAATAAAATATTTAAGAGAAAAGTTGCATTTATCTTTCTAGAGCAAATGTGATGGCATAAACAACCTCTCTCTCTCTCTCTCTCTCTCTCTCTCTCTCTCTCTCTCTCTCTCTCTCTCTCTCTCTCTCCCTCTCTCTCTCTCTCTAAAAGTAAATTTAAAAAAATGAGATACGTGTATAGAGATTTTCCAAACTATTTGGAATATTGGAATTTTGTGTTTACTTGCATTATTATCCCGGAGGCGGGGAAAACTTTATTTTATCTTGTGTTTACCTTACATCTCATACTTCGCCCTAGCAGTACAATATATTGGCGTAATATTGGAAAATTATGTAAATCTAATATTCCCAATATTGGTCTAATATTCTTATTATATTGTTAAATATTGGCCAATGCACTTTCAATATAAATCTAATATTATATAATTAGGAGTTTATTATCGTGCAACATTTGCATTTATTCAGAGTTGGGAAGTAACTCGTTACTTGTAACTCTAACGTAACTTCGTTACTTTCTCTCCATCTGTAACTGTAACTTAACTCAGTTACATTTTTTTCGATAACTAGTAACTAATTTAATAGTTACATTAATAGAATAATTACTTTGTCCATTTATTCCATGGCCAATATTGGTTTTACGTTGGACAATATCGGCGAATGCATTTCTAATATAACCAACATTGGACCAGTGCTTAGCCAATGGGTCTGTTTTTTTATAGCTGAACTGGCTGCGCTAGTTCAGAGTTTATCTCCTTCTAATGTGGAGGGAAAAAGATAAACTCTGAACTAGTGCAGCCAGTTCAGCTATAAAGAACTGACCCAATGTTTAACCAGTGCACTGTGCTACTAGGGTGCATATGCATCAATACATGTTTATCAGAAAAACATAAGAAAAGTTTAAGTATTTAGAAAAATCTATAAGGGATTTTCTTAACTGTATAATCTTAATTGGTCCATTAAATGAAAAAGATTCTTGTGTGTACGTTAAATTAACAGTTTAGCTTGAAACGACGAATTTGTCTGTGACCGCGAATAATAAATTACAAGCCATGAATAAATTTTCTTTACGCAATAATTCGCTAATTCACCCGGAGCGTTTAAGAATGCGCCATTAAGCGGGATTCTGAGGAAGAAGCGATTAAAGCCGGTACCGGTAGAAATAACGCGCGCGCGCGCGCGCAACGCAATATACCATGAATAATTCTTTCTTTCGTGGAACAGCGGACGATACACGCCGAATAATCGGTGGAAACGTTACGGTCACTTCACCTCTTGTAAATAATTCACTTATAAATTATTGATCCAGGAAGAAACCCCCCGGTTCGCGTTATAGACTTCGCACTGAAAGAAAATAACGAACGTTCCTTTACACGCATCTCTCTTCACTTGCTTTGGCGAGCAACGAAGATGGTAACATTAGTAAAAAAAAGTGCAACAGAAACAATGCGCTAAAAAACATATATGTACGTATGTGCATCCCTGAAAGTCTTTCTCCACTTAAAAGGTATTTCTTTGTCTAACAATCTTAACACAAAAACCAATCGAAAGGTGAATATAATTTTATGGCATGAAAAATAAGTGAAATCACGAAGGAAACCAAGTATATTAATTCTTTGCGTTTCAAATGTACTCGATATAATGTTTTGCGGCAATCTTCCGCATCGTTCTTCAAACATTCGAAATAGTGCATGATAAGCAAACGCAAGCTTTCTATCGTGCACAGGCGTGCGTGCCTGCGCCTACGAACTGTGAGAGAGAGAGAGGGGGGGGGGGAAGCGAGAGGATATTCAATATATCGAGGACAAAGTACACGCGTACGTTGTAAAATATATTTTCGAATCGAAAAATATATTTTAGAGCTATGCTTAAAAATGTTAAAGTACGCGTTACACGTGAGAATATTTAACTGAGAAAAGTTACCGTGGCATGAAAATAGTAAATTATTCTTTCATTGATGTACATTAAAAAGTGCAGAATAAGGGCCAGTTTCACAAACGTCGGTTAACTGTTAACCAGAGTTCAGTCAACTCCCCCTACCTTTTTCTATCTTATTATCTAACAATAAGAGGAGACAGAGACTCAGTTAACCTTCGGTTAGCAGTCAACTGAGGTTTGTGAAACTGGCCCTAAGGGTCAGACCACAAAGCAACGTAATAGCTTACGAATGTAACGTCATATCCCGGGGAAAAAAGACATTTTTCCGATTTTATTTAATTTTATAAAAAATGTCAGATATGATAAAATTTGATGAGATTCTATGCAAATTTTAATGTATCCATTTATAAGTACATCAAATCGGACGTGGTCAGATATAGTCAGATGTTTATACCGTTTTATCTGACTGTATCTGACCACACCTGATTTGATATACTTATAAATGGATGCATTAAAATGTAATCTGATTAAATTTTGTCACATCTGACATTATTTGATACAATTAGATAAAATTGGATATATGGCTTTTTTCCCCGGGATGTAATTGGAGGTAAGCACGACATACGCTGAAGCTTGTGCGCTAATCTGCGTTTACGCTTGCCTCTTTGTCGTAAGCCATTACGTGGCTTTGTGCTCTGACCCCAAACGGAAAGTATTCACAGCGAAATTGAAGAGTTTGAAATGATCTGGTATGACAGTGTGACCAATAAGGGAGAATTAAACGGGCAGAACGAGTGATAAGAACAAGTAACATACTTTAATTTATTAGCATTTCCTCATTTCAGAGTTCCATCAACACAATTCAATAACAATTATTTCTGTTTTTGAGATTTTCTCTTGTACTGCGACGGTATATCCTTAAATATACGCAACGTGTTGTATATAAAATATATTCCCTTAAGTTTTTGTAGAGAAAATTCGACGTAAAATCTCCCGCGATAGATTCAAGGAATTCGCAAGAACATTGCGTGTGCGTGCATGTCGTTAACATGAGAAAAACTAGAAAGCGTCGGCGACGCTGATGGCACGGCAGCGGAGAGTCTCAATGCAATTAAATGCAATTAAACGTATGTACGCCTCATCTTCTTGGTAGGTGGCACATTGATTACAATGCGTGTATCAACGCGTGGATAACGAATACGCGTGGCTGCATGTCCGCCTTTGGGCACAAATGCCATTCGTTTTAACGTGTGAGCGCGCAAGTGCCGATGATTTGTAATATCCGGTGTAAGAAATCGGTCGCGTCTTTAAGTGGCTGTAACAGAATTTACATCCGCCGTGTCATTACGGAGTGCGCTTTGCTATCGAAGAATGCAGGTATCCTTGTAATGGAAGTCTCGTTAAAACGCGGACAACGAATATCTTAAGATGTCAAAGACGTTGGCTCCGCCGTTGAAATATCATCGGTAAATGCTAATCGAGCCTACCGCGAGCGAGCAATTTCGCCTTTTTTTTTTCTTTATCAGCGATATTGTCGCAGGAATGTTTACGTCGCAGTGCGATATCGCACCTGATCCCTCGGTAGGAGGATGTCGAGTGATCTATAAAGTCGAACGATTGGTCTATCGCGGAACAGTTTACACGCGCCTTTCACCCAAGTGACTCTCAAACGGGAGAAACGAGAAGAAGGAGGAGCAGGAGGAAGGGCATCTAAGGTGTAATCGCTAAGGAGCGGTGCTATACGCAATCCAAGGACTCTGTGATATGCCTTTATCATGACGTAATCGGTTTACTATGCGCAACCGTCTCGCTCTCGCGCGGAATCTTAATATAACTGTAAAGCCGGTCACGAAACTTTCGTGCTCTCCAAAACGATCTCGCCCAGATAACAATCGCACTCTGTCAGGAAGGATATACCGATCTCATCCACGGTCCTTATGTTCGTTAAATAAGAACTATAAAAAAAAACACACGGTCAGTTGTAAAACCAAAGATCGTCGTCAACTCAGCGCTTCGTTAAGCTTACCATTTTCTCCATTTGGCGTTCACTCTGACAGAGTCGTACGGTAGGATCGATTTTAAATTACCGTTGTTACCTAGGATCAGAATAGGAGTGTTGTTCGACCAGGCGGCGACCTCAGGTTCTGCGTAAACAATTGTCGCCCGAATATCTTGCTTCAAATCGATGTGAACCAAGAATAATCTGTGACAATATAATGTCGTACATGGAACAATGATTTCGTTTGCAAATTATTACTTTTTATTAGATATATTTTCACCTGTGATATAGTCTATGATCTCTGGTGATCAGTTTCAAGCATCCACCGCCGTTATAGGAAAATCGGTTGCAAAATTCAAAAGTATTGACATCGACGGCAGTCAATTTGTCTTCGAAGTTGATGACCTTACCACACACTCGTATGATGTTCCATTTATTTTCATAGATACGTTCTATTCGCACTTCCTTCTTTTCGCAACCAGTGTTGTTACTTTTATTATTTTCATCGTTATTATATTCTGCGTCATCAACCTCTGCAGGAAGCGTACGTTGCGTCGATCGCGTGAATTGCAAGTATGGCACCGGAATTGCCAATTGCAGTTGCTGTATTCGTAAATTGTAAAATGCTTTCTTTTCGGGAGTACCTTCACCGTTTATCGTATACGGTTCAAAATGTTCCTAGGAACAACCAAACGTGTACGTGCGTGCGTAAGTTAATTTTAAACGCCATAAATATTTTAACAACAATTTTCAACACCTTTTTGTCAATTAAACGAGACATCTTATGTATTATTTAAATTTACCTCGCCATTATAATAGTAGCAAATGCCAGCACCTCGACAGAAGGAAGTTTTAAATGTGTCATCTTCGAAAATGGGCACGTGTACGTAAAAATAAGGGAACAACTGAGCCCAAAATAGATCTTCTAAAACTAGAAAAGTGCTTGGACCAAAGTACTCGTGTGTCCAGCCAGGAGCGAAGATTGCGACCGAAAGCCCTTGTTCCCGTATCAATTTTAGCGCCTTTAAAAAGACAAATTTTATCTTTATCACCTGAATTTGTAGAAAATGAGGCAACGATACACTTGTAATACAATAGAAGCAGCAATATTTACGTATGCCGAATTAAAGCCGCCTCCGCCTGGGCATCCTCTCCCCCAGACATCTAATCCAACATAAATATCCTTAATATCGCGGCCCAATTCCTTTGCGAGTAGACGACTGTTGCTCAGTCGCGATTCCGTCCAAGTATAATTTAAGAATATGCCATCGCAGTACAAGAAAAATTCTCTGAAACGATTGCCATTAGATCATGTTGGTAGAACGCAGCTAGGAGCAAATGCCAATAGAAGATACGTTACTTGTTCTTATCATTGAGTTCGTTCTGCCAGTTCAACTCTCCCTTATTGGTCACACTGTCATACCAGATAATTTCAGAATCTTCAATTTCGTTGTGGATACTTTCCGTTAGATACTTGACGAAGTAAATCAAGGCATCAATATCCTCTGGCTTAATCTTGTTCTCGATGTTCAAGAGCCAGCCCTCAAACTGGTAACTTTTTGCAATCGATACTAGTGCGTCTGCGAATTTTCTCGCGTCTTCCTGTGACGCGAGAATCGTGTCCCAGGTGTCATTGTTTCCTTCCGTGATGACGGTACCCAAGACCTTCACACCATGGCGATGAGCCGCGGTGATCCAACCGCATGGTGGGATAGTCACAAAGTGATGGCTGAAGTAGACAAACGTGTCCACGATGCTCCAGTGATAAAATATATAAGAATCGTGCGAGGTAGAGCCCTGTAGGAATCTGTAGAAACGTGAAGCCAGTACAGATGCGATTACAATTCGCGATTACGTTAGCTTGGGCATTTCTCATCATCAAATTACCTGTCTTCAAGGTAACCACCTTTCATATCGTGGCAGACTAGTGTTCTGGGCTGTTCGGCTCTGTCCACCCTTTCCAGCGGAACTTGCTGCGCGACGATATCCGAGCCTCGGTACACATAATCCACTGACTCCGTGATGTATGCCAATGGCGATTCCCTTAGTCCACCGTCCAGGGTATCGTATAATTCTGCCAATGAGTTAAAAGGCAGCGATTCCTTCGCTTCAACGCTGCTTGCCATCCCAGTGGTTTCTGACACGCCGCCGCTGCATTCCATGGTTGCATTTCAATTTTCTGATAGTAAACTGACGCAACTGACCCTTCCTGTGCAGCTATCACCGGAAAATACACATGGTGTGATAACTCATTCTAGAAAAAAATAGTTCATGGCTTTTGATAGCAATGTTACTCTGCGGTAAAATCACGGTGCTAATTATCTAATCTTTCGATACTGTTATCTGCCGGTAGTCATCGTGCAAAGATGAATGACAGCGAGGCAGTAATCTGTTAGTTTAACCCAGTAAGCAAAATTAGCAGAATGCTAACAATTTATCAGCAGACTCGAGCGGAATATTGCGACAGATTGTCATTAATTGCCACAACATTCCTGTTAGCAGAGCCGGCCGACGTAATTTAACGGTGGCTTGTCGATAGAAGCTGAACAAAATCACTTTGCAATCATTTAAAGGAAACAAATCGTTATAAAAAGTGATTGATCTTCCTCGATTTCTGTAGTCAACCTGCCACGTGTATTCGTACTCTGTCAACGGATTCCGTTACATTTTGTTGATTTTCTAAGAAATTTGCAGACACTTCGCAAAATATCTTTGACAGACTGGATCGTCAGATTTTTATTGTTCAAATGTCTTGGAATGTATGAGAGAAATTGACAAGTTTTTCGTTGAAAATAATCTAACCTGTAAGACACGCCAGTAATTTAGGGATTCTTGTATCGACACGATTCGTGTAAACACGCGGTTTCGTCGCGGCAATCGGTGAGATTTTATTTGTAAATAATTACAGATTTTAGAGTCTTAATTATCAATTCATAGAGAGAAAATTAATACTAACGCATTCTTATTGTATACATTTTTATTCGAATTACTTTAATTAATCTAAGTTAAACATTTGTAACATCCCAGTGAGCAAACTACTGGCTGTATGACAACAGGTTGCTCAGATTATTGCAACAGATCCAGTATCACCCGTGACCACATTAGTTGGCAGAATCTGTCACTCCCGTAAACATTTGAATCAACAGATTCGAATCAATTTCTACAGTCAATTAACAGAGTCTCTTATATATTTCTATTGTTATTTTATCCGCAAAATCGATAGATTTTTTTGTCAAATCTATTCTCGACAAATTTGACTACCTAGAATGTTATCAACACAATCCGTTTATGTATTGTGGAATACATATAGCAAAATGAGATCACATAGGCAGAACAGGAAGAAGCATGAAGTGGAACCTGTTCTTAGCGCCTCTATACTTACGAGCACGTGTATTGAACTACGTAGCCACGTCCGTGAATATTTCCAACGGGTAACTGAGTTTTCAGTCTTCGGTTCTTTCCCACAGCGCCCTGAAATAGTTTTCCACGCCGAAAAAATTTAATCAACAGCGACGGAGGTCTAATTAAAATTAATCCTGTTAATTCAATAACAGTGAATCAAATACGTCACGATCCTGTTTTAATTAAATGTTATTTGTTTCATTAATCTCTGATTGAATTGACCAAATTATTTTCAATTAAAACTGTTAACTGTCAATGCAACATAATTTTTTCCCGTATACATATAAGAAACTTTAAAGCACATCAAATTTGTTTTAACAAAAGTGAAACACGAAAAATTAACAACCGCGAGTGAGTTCCTTGATTTTTACAATTTCCATCTATCGCATTTGCATTTGACAAGAGAGAACCGTGTTAAAAGCCACTGTGAGATCGTGATTAATAAATTACATGTAAAAATTAAGTTACTCGAGCCTTTCGATCCGACGAATTTCGCGCTCTTAATCTGGAAACGGCGAGCAAATCCCGTCTCAGTCGACGTTAAAATGCGAGGTGCATAATCCGACGATTTAAAGAAGTCGATCAGCTAGAAGGACATATATATAATCTTTCTACTTCGACTCCTTCGCATAAATAAGCCACGCGAAATATTCACTTCGATGAACAACCGCTTCGATACGCTCACGAGTTCCCAATCGCTGAAGAATAATCAAGCGTTGATAATCGCTTATTGAAAAGTCCGATCGCACTTGGTGTGTTCCTAATACTCGATGATACATAACGTGATGATACGCAGAATGTGTGCTAAGACTTGCTCGCTCGAACGAGTTGCGTAAATGGTAGCGCGGTGATTTCGTAAACGCGGAGCGACAGCAACAATTACCAAAGCCAAGGCCGCACGCCGACCGCTATTATCGTTTCGAAATATTCGACGTTTTAAATAAGATAGATTGTGATTTAAAAAGGCAAATTTCAGAAATTAAGGTGATAAGATATAAATATCCATTTGTATGTCATGAGATCTTTCTTTATTTCGAATACAATTTTTCTGCGAAGATATAAGTGTATAATCGCAGGAACACGATATAAATACAATTCCACGTAATATAACTGGAAGACGTACGAGATCGTTATTTAAGTTTGAACGAAAGCAATAATGGATGGTCTATGTATTTTGGTTAAAATGGTCCCGCGATGATGTGACATTTTCGTCTTACGAGAAAGTTTCTAAAAGAACGGTTTTCATACGTGAGAAGAGGATGCTATACGTAATTATAAATTCTGTCAATAAGCTTCTAAACAACGTACAGTTGATAAGAAGATGATCAAAATGATCAAGGATGTTACAAGTGTACGGGCGAGATGATTTCTATTAAATATTGTTCTTCCGGCAGTTCTGATTTAAATTCGCTGGATCGTAAATTGTGGGAGAAGCAAAGGACTGTAAAAGAAGACAAATAACAAAATTTTTAAGCATAAAAGAAACAGTAAAATTTCTGGAAATTATATGCCCAGATTAATAATCAATTAGTCGAGACGCACTCTCGTTACCAAAACAAAAATCGAGCATTTCGCGTAACTTTTGTAATTAAATTAAAATATTATGTTTCATTGTATTTTTATATGCACACGATATTGACAGAATTTATGTCGAGATTTTATACTATGTATTATCGATTCGACGAATGAGGATTGTCAGTAATTGGAAGATATTCTATAACTAATTTCAATAACTAATCTCTCTAACTATAACTAACCTTTGTAGAAGAATTTTCAAAAATATAATTTCCGTGACTTTCTATTATTTACGATTCTTTTGTAACAATGCAGCGAACATTATCGATTACTTTGTTCGTAGACATTGCTATTAAAGAACATACCGTCGGGGGTATGAAATAAATACGATAATCGAAGGAACAAACTAGTAAAATTGATATGTATCGATACGAAAAGAAAAAGTTATCAATTTTTATACGCAGGTAAAAATAAAGAATATTTAAAACATGTGCGAAAAATTGTTTAAGAATCAATATTCGTTAAATATTCCAAAGTTTTTAATTGATTTTAGAGAATACTTGCTTAATTCCATAAGAATCTCATTTTTCTTTAGTTCAATTCTTTTTTATTTCTCGTTCACGGCATTACCGACGTTTCAAAAGTTGATAGAGAACGCAACACTTAATTTTCATTTGTTTATATATGTATTATATATTCATTCCTTCGATTATTACGAACGTTAAAACGCCGAGAAATAAACTTGTCATTTGTATTACAATTCTATATTCTAAATTGTCAAAATCAATAGTAGTAATCAGACATTCCATCAGAAATTCATAACTCTTATGAATGAACAAACTCTCCGATCTAAATTTGTAAACTGTTAGACAAAGTTATCCTTCGTGATGTATATGTCACATTGGAGAGAATACTTGTCTACATAATTGTCTACGAATAACCGATTTCTTGTTGTAAAGGTATACAATTGTACAATCCTATCGTCACTTTCACGTATTGCATGGTTTCCGTAGTCGTGAAAAAGAATCATTCGATACGACTCACGTTGAAAAGTAATCTTTTGACACGATAGAAAACATTCTGGAAATATCCTTCAATATTTAACAAAGCCGCTTATAAATTACTACATCGCTGTCGTCTGTACAAGAAAAAACGGTACTCTGACGCGACGCAACTGTTTCGTCCATCCGGAAAAGCCGTACACAATTTTCAAAATCAGCTAGGAAATATTTACAAAATCGAAAACAAGAACTATGTTTACAAAAGTAAACATCGCGGTTTATCTAGGTAAAGCTGCAGCTTCATCGAGTACAGTCGAATCTCCGTATTCTTAATATCCCTATTCTTAAAGCCTCCTTTAAGTCTCTTAACATTTTCTCTTGCTGCTGTTGATTCTCACTACATTATGCTAGCCAAAATATACGCGTGATCGAAATGATATCTCCATTCTATGCATATGTCATTGGAATGCATGCAGCAATTAAGAACAAGAGTCAAGAAGAGGGAGGGAATTTGGTCCTGACGTGCTAAAAATATGGAGATTTAACTGTAGTCAAGTTGCGCACGTTAACGTAACGCGGGGTACATGCGACGTTGTTCTTTTTATTTTTTAATACTTTTGGTATGATATGATTAATTATAATTAAAATATTATATTACACATTACTCCGTGTATGATGTAATATATAATAATATTATAGTAAATATCATATATACATATACATATATATGATATTTAAATACGTGTACAAAGGTATATATAATATATATTGTGCATATATCGGGGTATGTTGAATGTCGGAGGTTTCGTTAAATGTTTCCCTTCTTATTGTGATTTTTCACTTGACTACATGTCTATTACCGTTCAATCTCTTATATGTACCATTGTAAACTCTATTGCAACGAGGGATTTCCGTTATTCGTTATTGGCATTGTTCTATCGTAAATATGTAAGATATATGGCGGTATATATCATTTTTCACATACACACGCACACATACACACACATGTATATACGCAGGTGTAGAGGAAAGTCCTCTATTATTAGATAGGATTCTAATATGAGATAGTAGGTTTTCAACGTCCGAAATTCAATCTTTTTTTCCACTTAACAGACTTCACTCCAAGGACAAACATTCATGGTGGACGCGACAGATGATGTCTATTGATTTTGCAGAAACCCTGATATCTCATATCAGGAGCCTACCCTATAACGGGGGACTTTCCTCTGTATTGTATGTGGTAAATTACACGAGCCTCTCTACCATATTTGATTATGCACCTATTAGGATATGAGGTATGACAAAGAGTATTATTAAATCTTTTATGCCATATTATTGTGATCGACTAGTAATGACTAAGCTCATTCTCAGTAATATCATTTTTCACACGTACATAAGGCGGACTGATGTACATGCGTTATGATTAAGATTTATGGATTATAGGCCGTCGTCTACAAAAACATTCTTATATCGAATCTATACAGATATGAATGTTCTATTCGTTGGATAAATTACTAATTATGGGATGTATACCTATAAATTGGCGTCCAAATCAAATAGATTGAAACGGAGAAATTTTACGTAGTGCTGTCAGGTAGAAAATTACTAAGCTCTTTCTTTTATACTCGGTAAAATAGATATTAATTTGTCAAGGGATTTCTACGCGGGGGGGGGGGTATTCAATCTAGCAGGGTCCGAAATGAATATTGAATCGTGAATGAGGCTATCTATGTAAAAAAAAATGTTCAATCGAATAGGCTCTTTTTTTCTCACTCGTTGAAGATTTTATAGGAAAAATCTAGACTAGACATTTTAGGACTATGCCTTCTACGTCGTTTTGATTACATCCACGATGTAAGACAAATAATGGAAGGCACATCCTCGATGGAAAGAAAATGATTCTCCCTTATAATAAAAAAATTACACGATCCCTTAATGTCAAAGACCGCCAAGCGCAAGTCCTACGATTCTGTGATCTCATTTTTTTTAATATTATTTTTTCAATTATTTAAATAGTGTGAGATTGCATTTAAAATAAACGTTAAGAATAGTTTGATATAAACGTCATTCAATTCTTTACGCTGAGCAATAAACTATAAGCGCCAGATCTGTTTCCGATTTTCACCGTACTTTATACTTTAGAATCAATCTACTCTCGGGAATCTTTTTTTCGCGGGAGTCTGCCCTTCTTCGAACAGCTGTTGAAGTCGCGTTTAATTAAACGATTAGTTGACCTTTCGGGAACGTTAATACAATATTATCGCAGCAATCAGAACCGAGCAAGACTTTGCATGACTCGTTATCATACTCGTTATTTTACTTTAGAAATTTTCGTCGATATCCCAATTCCGCGCCAAGTTGAAAACTTCGAAATCGCCGTCGAGTACCTCGGGTTTATCAGGTGCGACTAATATCTCGGGTCGCAGTGCCACACAGTCTCTCGGCGAGCATTCGATGCGGCCTTCGGAGCCGCAGCTGCATTCGACGCAGTTCCCGGTTGAGTGTGGTAGTGTCTCACCCTGTCGATACTCTCTTCCTATAATTCAAGTCTCATGGTACATACGAATTTCCTTTTTAAAAGTCCGGAACCGCGCACGTATGTATACATGAACGCGCGGCTTTTATAACATATAAAAGAAAATAGGCTTCCAAAGTACATAAAAGCTCATGCTTTTATCTTGCGCCAAGGCACTATGAATATTAAATGTGCATTGTGTGCTTAAACAACGTGAGGTATAAAGTAAATTTTAAACAAATCTTCAAAGATTTGTAATACTTATGCTGTAAGAAGGACTTTTGGGAAATAATATTAAAAAGTCTCTAGAAATCTATTAGAATTACTTTCAATAAATATGCAACGTGCATTGTGACGTTTATGAATACATGTATAAATTAAATTTTATTATTTCTGACAATCGATATAAAAATAACGGTCTAATAAAAAAATCGCTGTAAAAATAACGATCAAATCAAAATATCAAGAGCAAGTTAATGAGGAGAGACGAATTAATAAATACCCATCACGAGGCAAATGGTCGGTGCAGAAGGCGTTGTACTTGACAGAGTGGCGTTAATTTCTTTATGTTCCTCTTGGTTAATCGACGAGTCAAAATTTCCGGAAGCCTCGAAGCCGTCCACAATGTCCGTACTCATTCCCAGAGACGAAGTGTAATTGCTTTCCACCGCGGTCGATCGCAGAGAAGACGGGTCGAGCGACGAGGCCATGTTCGAATTATAATTTTGCCACCAACAGTAAACTTCGCCGACGACGCATAGGCAATGTGAATTCGCGTCACGCGACGGTATCTGGGGAGAAAGCGCGGTGCGTTTAGTAAAAGATTTTAATGAAAAAAAACACAAGAGAAAAATGATATAAAAATTCAGTGCTTGATTAACCAATTATCATATTGGGATATAAGAACAAAATAATTCCCCTTCTCGCAATCACGTTACTATTCTCAATGATGATTCTAATTTGGAACATAATCAACGTTGTGACATAAAAATTTTTGAGTTATGAACAAAGAACAAAACTGGAGAGAGTCCAATTCACGAAGAAAACTTGAGAGAGCCAAATGGATTACACAGCTGCATTCGTCAATTAATTTTAGTGAAGTTTACTGTAATAGAAGCCTGATCTGAGGAAGTTAGTTACAGAGATATACCTAATACTAAGGCTGCTAAAACTGTGATAAATGATAATCCTTCTCAACAGTTTCTCAACACTTAAGGGCAGATCGACTCGAGTAAAGGAGGAAAAGGGGAAGATAAAGAGAGAGAGAGAGAGAGAGAGAGAGAGAGAGAGAGAGAGAGAGAGAGAGAGAGAGAAAAAGAAAGAAAGAATTTTTACTTGTACAAATGCACCAGAGAGTACGATTTTTATCTCATATAAAATTTCTTTTATCTTAAGGTAAAAGAGACGTGTTACTCTCCGTTGAATTATTTAAACTAATTTCTTATTAATTCCTGCGAAGATGTGAAGATGTCAACGTTTTATTTTCCTCCATTTTTCGTGATTGTTTGTCACACTAAAAAGAGATTTTCTCTCGCCGGTATATTTCGTCAGTCGTTACCGTTTGACTGTGAGAATAGAAATTCCCGTCTACAATGCACTTTTTGAGAAACGGGTCCTCTGTAGTGACGTCATCATCGCTGTCGTCTCGAAACGTAACGCCAATTTCATCCAATAAAGCCTGACCTGTCGCTCTCGCAGGTGCTGTAACCAAAATCATAAATGAAAGATCAGCGACGGCTGAAGGCTTGCTGTTTCAATAAATCTTTCTTTTTCAATCGAATTAACATTGAACGAGATGTGATTATCTGCAATCGCTCGTTAATCTCTAATCATAGTTACCGTACACTCTATCGCTTTTGCAACATTCCATCAACAACAAAATTGTACTTAATTAGACGATCGTTTTAATTGAATTCGCTCGCGGAAATTTGCCCGTGATACGGACGCATACTCATGTGTTCCACAACCCAATTTCGTAATTAGAGCAAGCAATTATGACTGCGCCTCGTACGTCTTAGTCTATCGTGACCTGACGAGCTTAGTTGTACGGAAATAATTTTAAAAAATAACTATTCGCCCTAAATAATAAAAAAAACTTGGTATAGAATTATCATACTTTTTTAACTGAGGTATTTTGTACGATTCGTGCGAAATCAGAATATGTTTGAAGTGTCTGATTTTCAAGGACACGAATAAAAAATTAATAGGTTATTGTAGTCTGTGAAAGATCCGACTCGGTTTTTTAATAGACCCTATCAAGGTAGATTATTTGCAGCAAAGTAATGTAAAAATTAATTCACGACTTTCTAAAAGTTGTAACTTTCTCTTGGTTATATTAATTATGTAATAATGTCATCACACATATCTATGTTAAAGCTAAAATATTTCACTTTATTCGGTGAGAACTATTTGTATATTAGGTCATTATTTTAGACAGACGTGAAAGTTCATCGGACGGTCGTTCGATCAGATAGGATCGAACTAATAAAATTGGTGCAGCCTCGACCAATTTTACGATGTAGAGAGTTCACATGCGAATCTTTTAAAAAGGTGATATTTTTAATAATAAACAGTCTTAAAAAAAATAGTAAAACGGATGGTACCTTGATAAGTCCCTCAATTATTATTACCTATATACCATTCTGAAAGTAATCCGCTAGAAAGACTTTTCCTTTGAACTCGTTAATTACAAAATTACTCATTTTTTAAATTATATTGCAACTGAAAAGATCGACTTCGAAGTTCGTTGAAGTATCTATACCTAAAAGAAAACACATATTGATCTTGAGTCCCCCAAATGGTGAGATACTGCATATCGAAGCGACGAATGTGAAGAAATACAAAGAGTGGTATAGGTAACGAGCGAGACAAGAGATCGATACGCGAAGAAAATAGGATGGTACGTTGCGCAAACAAATAAATGTAGCCTGCATCGCGTGATGAGCTATGAAGTCCTGGGACGACACCAGGATATTAAGCAGGCTCGTCGGCAGAATGAAAAAAAAGGCAGTACATTCCGCTTTGTTTGGTGTGCACTTACGACTATCGTTTAATTATTTCGAATTTAGAAATTACACATAAACGATTCAGCGAATACGTCGGTAAACGAATGAAAGTTAAAATGCTGCATCGCTTTGATGCCTGAATATCTAAACTTGAGATTAATGAAACATCACTGCTGAATTTCTTTTAAAAAGGAACTCATTTGAAATGGGTTAAGTAATTAAATTTAAAATTGCATTAAATGGGTTTTGATAGTTGCTGCAAAAGAGACGAATTTTCAGCCTTTCGCAATATTTATTTTTACGGGTTCATAAATGCATAATCTAGTTATATTATGAGCTAAAAAAATAACGGATTGTTTCCGCAGGACAGTATTCAATCAATTTTATTTCATCTATTCGTTAACAAAATAACAATTATTTAGTTTTCAATAACTTCGTGACGTCATTCAGTGTATATTTGTATGCTGTAAACTATAAAATTGGAAGTTTATTGCACGAGTTTTGAATTAAATGCAGCTTTTTCTAGGGCAAATTACAGGGCTGAGTTACCGCAAACGAACGTGAAATAATGAGTGACTTGGGTTTCTCTCTCTCGCTATTCTCGCGACTCTTTACGACTCTGCAAGTCATTACGTGAGTGTGGCGTATCTCTATTCAAAAAATTGCTTTTGTTTCTAACCGTGTCTGACGAAAGCATTTTAAATTAGATTCTTAAACGCCTGTAAGCACGCTGCAACGTACAGCGTATATCGAGACAGACCGTTGCGCGATGTTTTCTGCATCCGGCGTGACCGAGAAACATTTATCAGCGCTTCCAATAATCAAGCTTCGATAACTAGTAATCAAATTTTGGAACACAAATACCGCAACTTCAAAATTCCATGCTATTTGCATGTGCGTTTGAGATTAAATGTACGTATTAATTCTTTAATGAAAAAGATTTGTCGGTAACTACGTTCTACTGAAATAATAATGCATAATAATTTTTTCTGCATATTAGCGTACGCAATTTACGCGCGTGCCAATTAATACGATGTTGTGTAATATTTTTAACGAACGGATAAATATATAACAACCCGATTATCACCTTTTTAACGAATCGATTCTTGAGCTAACAGGATGGTCATTCGAAGAATCTTTTGAAATCGTGAACAATGGCTCCTCGTTAGCGGGGTGTTTGCTAAAGCGTCATATTAATTCAACAAATCAACTGTGTTGCTTTATGTCCACTGCCCTTTACCTCTTTCCCCGCTGCCATATAAAATTAATTAATAGATAAGGTATGGCCTGCAATTAAAACGTGTTGATTTAACATAATTGTTATTACGGGTGAACGTGTTAATACAGTATCACCGACTCAACAATTTAGCGCATCTGCAAATTGTCGCTTCGACACTTTTGATCGCGGCTCCAAATTATTTGAATTATTCCTCAATCTTTTTTTACCCCTCTCAAGCAAAAATAGATTGGTTGCAAAATAATAATGTTTAAATCATCTTGCATCATTTTGGATACGCGAGGCAAACTGTAGAAGTCACCGCCCGAGAATATGCACGTATCTCGGATAAGCACCGATCATTGTGAATTTGTAAGCGGATTTGAAAGTGTCGTGACTACTTAAAATATACTTATAAATGCTGCGAGAGGCGGTGTTGAGCGCCTTATCTACGGCATGCAGCGACCACCAATGTCGTATTATCTAGGCTGAATTTTGCCTATTATTCCGTGCGCACCAGATGTTAATAATATATCCAAGAATCAATATTTTTACTGTTCCCGGCTAATATCTTTGATGTCGAAACGTTGAAAATGATAATAATTGTGTGTCTGTATTAGATGATTGCCCTCGATTATTAATTGCTCGCTTTATAATGTTATAACAATCATATGCAATTTATAGATAATGAATAATGTATGACAACAAATAAATAATATAATATAGTATCATAAAGTAAACCGAGGTATCAACTTAACGGATTATTAATGATATGAATGCGTGTCTAGCTCTGGTTAAAAAGAGAGGCTTATTTTTCAGATAAATACATATTAAAAAGTAAATAAAAAATAAGCATATAAACCCTCGAACACAATAAAATAAAATACACACCGTATTCCAGTGTAGAACGCGCGCCATTTTTTTTTCATAGCGTATGACAAAAGGTTTATATTCTTTTAACTTTCTCACAGTGTGTGTGTGAGAGTATAAATCTCTTTCGCTAATTGCTACACTGCGCAATATTTATTAAGCACTCACATTTAAAAATGGCCTCGGAGTATAATATATGCCAAGTTATATTTATCATTTCATTTTGCAAATTGCGATAAATTTAAACTACAGTAAATGTAAAACATTTCAAAACTTACATAAATTTTTATACAATTTTTTTCTATACAAATAGCGAGTTTTCGCTGGGCCGAGTAAAATTAAAGTTAAAATTACATTTCAAGCGAAACCATTATTAAAACGATAGTAAAATAGTCTGATATTTGAAAAGAGTACCGAAAAAAGTGATTCTTTCTAAATAAAGTAATTTCTTTTACTTTATTACAAATTGTTATTTATCCTTTTATAAATATCTTATCCAATTGCCAATTATTAAGTCAAATTTACTATTTTGTCGTATTTTTTATATTCCGGTGTATTGATCTAAGCAAATGTATGTATTTAAAAAACTGGTTGGGACACGACATAAAGAGCAGGACAATTCGCATTCTAGTTGGGTGTTTTCCAGTTGTTCGGAAGATTGAGAGTTGCATAGTTAATCCTTGCAGCGTTTTTTTTTACAAAAAACTGCGATTCTACACACATTTCTTTCACATGACAACAGCGTCGGATTTGGCTCCGATTAAATTCCTCTCTCCAAAATTAAACACGTGCATATCCGTACATTTTTTTCACGCGCAAAGTGTGTGAAGCGCACCGAGAAATCGAATACAATTCCGCGAAACGCAATAATAGGCAAATTTTGTGACAATTAAAACACAAAGCGTAATAATACGTTTCATTTGGCGATAATGTGGAGGCGCGAGGGCGGCAGGTGTGCGCCAGGAAACATATGTGCACACTTGGCGGATACGTGTGCACATGCAGATTCGCGCGATTTGGCGACTCACCGGCTATCGAACGGGCGACGTGACAGTGCAGCAGATAACCGACGACGAGCAGCATCCGCGGGAGCCACATCGTTCCGGAGAGCGCGAGAGAGCACGGGGTGAGCCGGCTAATTCGGAAACGCCGAGTCGAGGGGAAGGCACGTGAACCTCGTGGCAGCTCGCGGCGCGACTACCTACCCCCTCCCGCGGGACGAAGGCCACGGACGCGCGTTTCTCCCTCCGCGTCTTTTTTTTCTTTTTCCTCTCTACGTTGACATTCGAGGCGAGGGCCGTGAAGCGGCCTTGAAACGGAGCACGGCGACCGTCGCCGCGGAAGGCGAGCTCTCCCCCGGCAGCCCTTCGCCCTACGCGCGGCCGCCAGCGCAGCCAGCGGTCGACATTGTCACGCCACGCACGTCAAGGTCCAACTGCGAGCGGCCAGTCCTCGGCTACGCCAACCTCGGCAGGTGCAGCGGGTCTCCAACGGCGCCTCGGCCTCGGGAGTGTGCGCACGACGGGAGGACCCGCCGCGTCGCTTCGTCCTCTCTTCTTCTTCCTGCCGCCCCGGCTGCTGCATCCGACACAGCGCGGAGATCCTCGCGAGCGCGTGGCTCTCCTAGGGAGAGCGCCGGGGCAGGACTCGGCTTACCCTTTTAAAACTTGAGAAATTTATTTATCTCGATTCATCGAGGACGCATTTTTCTCAATCTCGCTAAGATTCTTTTTTTTCTAACTTCCCTTTTAACTTCCCGCCAAGTTGCTTACGCTACGGGATTGGATTGTATCGTTGCGCCGCGTTCGTTGATTAAAAGTTTACCGGAGTGTCTGAGATGCCGTAGTTGTGTACCTCGGTGTCTTGCAATAACTGCATTATTCACGTGGTTTCTTTTAACGTAATTAATCGCATGGGGTGTGTTTCACGCCCCATTATATATCAATTTCATTGTCCTCTTTGAGCATCTTCAATGAAACGAAGGTTGATAACATTCTCTTTATCTTCCAGATAGAGATAAGCGTTTTTCTTTAATCGTGAAACAATTCGTGCAGCACTCGATAAAACAAAGTACCTATAAGTGACCTATAAATTTTTTATAGTTTTTTAAATTGGTACATATTTTATATCAAGGATAAGATTAGCATTCGCGTTTCTTAAATTTTTAATTAAAAAAAAAGAAAAAATTGCGACTGCCGAAACCCGGGATTGAACCGGGGACATTTAGATCTTCAGTCTAACGCTCTCCCAACTGAGCTATTTCGGCTCACAACCGAGGACGTTCGTTGGCAGTCTGAAAAGCCGTTGTTGCAATACACGCAACTCATGTTCTTCGTATTAAATATTCGATACAGAAACGTCAAGATATCGTGAATTAATCATGGTTATTGTTATAAAGTTATAGCGCGTATACAGGGTGTCCCAATTTCATGCCCCACCCCAAATAACTTTTTTATTTTTGATCGCAGAAAAAAACGTTTCAGACAAAAGTGGTTTGGTTCGAAGGGGGACACAAGGTGGTGCCATTGACTTGACGTTTAATGGTCATTTGAAGGTCACGTGACGGTCACCTTCAATTTTTTTAATGGAACCCTCTGTTGTTTATTATACTATGTTATTCTGCTAATTAATATGAATAACTTTTGTCCGAAATATTTTTCGATTTGCCTAATACTTTGTGAGATATTCAAGGGAGAATTTATAACTTTTTCAATGTTTAGCTTATGATATCTCGATAGCTGTTTGTCGGAGGGAAAAGTAGTACAGGACTTGTTTACTTGATTTTGTCTCAGGAATATGCTGTTGCAATAGTTCTCCAATTATGGAAAATTTTTGTGTATTGTAACATACACAAAATTTGCATAGACAAAAATGTTCAATAATTCAATATTAATCATTGGTCAATTAATTTCGGACAAGCACGTGTCGCAATCATGTCAAAATTTTCTTCCCCTCCTATCCTTCGAATATCGATCACTTGATAGTCGATGCACGTTGCAAAAACGCGCATTCTATGAAATGTTAAGGTTACGTACTACGAGTGGAAGGGAGGGGGAGCTGTTTTAATTCATGGTCGTGATTCAAGAAGGATTTGAAAGAAACAACTTACAGGGTCAAGGCGAAGTGTTCCGACTGTAAGACGCGTGATAATAGAAGCACACGTGGCAGTGAGGAAAGAGGAAAAATAAATCGCTGTATGTCTTGCATGTGACTCTTGAAGTCTACTTTTCCTTGCTGCTCGTTAATTTTAGCATCGAGAGAGCCTTTAATTGATTAATCACTTATTTAATAAATAAATCTTGAGTCCGCTCAAGTGTGTTCGGGTTTCAGTACCAAAAAAAAGTAAATGCAACTGTAACTTCGTTGCAAGTAACGAGTTACTGCCCAACCCTGGTTTTGACATCGATTGACGAGTCATTTCTCGCTGGGGATTACGTGTATCGACTTAAAGGGAGACTACGTCGAAAAATAAAAATGAGCTTGACCGGGAAAAAATTGTTTCTACGTTAGGCTCAAAACTTTTCAACCCACCCTCGTATATTCGGGATACGCGAAACGTTTGAGTCCTGAACAACATCGCTGTTTTAGACTGGCGTTGAACGCATTATTACGCACGGCGTGCGTGTAACAGTGGGGCCTCCGTTTGTTCGCTTCCTCGGTGCGTTGCCAATTTAAACGGAATCCAACGTGTTTTTCCTGTGACGTGCGTCGAACAACAATGCGCGTAATCTTCCGCCATTAAATCTAAAATCGATGGAGATTTATATATCCCGCCTTCGAATCCCCTTAAACTATTTATTTGTCGCGCAGAAAGAATAATATTTCATATTTATTGGGTCACTCCGGAAGTAAGGCGACTTTCTAGGGATACTTTTTAGAGGTAAAACAAAAATATAACATTTTAATCTCAATGAAAAAATACGTTTTTCCATTATTAATTTACAGCTTCTTCTCATCTCAATCTTAAGGTAGTTGTTTCGTAAAATCACTTATGTGAGAAATGTTTCAAATTTTTTACAGTTTATTCTTTACATTAATACGTGCAAAATAAGAACAATTAAATTAAAATTGACCGTCTCAAAGTTCTAAAAAAAAATGTTAAAGTTTGCTATGGTACGCGAAATATTACGTGTAAAACACGTTAAAAATATTGTTACACGTAACGATGTAATTCGTTGTAATATTATTACACGCGAAATATGATTTGCACATATTGTTATGTGTTAAAATATTAATATTTGCGTTTGCAAACGCAAATGACGGCATATTTTCTTACTTTTTAAACTTAACGGTGAGTGAGATTCGTATGAGAAGCAAATATGTTGTAGAGTAAAATGGGACGAATAACTGGAAAAAAATCAAAATTATTGACCGCTCCGTTTCAACAATATAAACAATTAAATATGTAGAAAGGAAGGAGTGCCAATCACATTGGTGTGAGCCACAAAATGAACGGAAATCGGTTCTCACAAATTTAAACGTCTCGACCCTCCTTCGGGTCTTCCTCAGTAAAACTGCAGTAAAATCATCGAAAATACAGGATAGAATACAATAATACTTATGATACAGATTGGTTAAATAGTAATAATCAGTTACCTCGTTTAAATCGAATAAACAATTGTGTATTAAACTTGCCCTGGCGAAAATGACAAGCTTTATAAAGCGTTGATAACTGTTAAATGAAGGTTTTTTAAAAGTTCAAACGCTTTCAAACTTTATGAGAATGCTTACACAACGCCGCTGCGTTTTGAACGCTTTCAGAACGTTTATAAAATACTGTGTATAACGTTTCATAAAAGTTCTACAAAGCTAAGTTAAAAAATGCTATATACAAACGTCTTCTAAACGCCGCAGCGTTGCAATTTCCGCTCTACAAATTCTCTATTGACCGTTTCTAAACTCTCAACGAACTCCTGCAAACGCTATATACAAGCACTTGTGAAACGTTTTATTTTTGCCAGGGTGAGTGTAGTGTAAGAGACGTGGCGACAGCGCCACAAACTATAATCTTTCGAATCCATTTTATATTATATATTAATCGTGAGTGTATTCTTTAGAACAGTATTGCATCAAGGTATACCATTGTAGTAATTGAGTGCCGGTTCCTGTCTGGAAGAAACTTTTGAGCATTACCGTCGCCAAACAACCACCTTAAATGTTGACTTGCCCGGCGACAAAAGTTTCTGCATAATATCGCGCTATTTGTGAGACGACCCAATGTATTTCAACATCTGTCTTTTATGTATCTCATCTGTCGGGGCAAGTATACCATTCGTACGACCCAGATGTCCTCCGGAAATATTACTTAGAAGACCCCGGGAGTCAACTGCGAGTCTCGCGGCGCGGGGAATTGCATAAATCTGCAAAGTTGGGACAGGGGACAGGTTTACGCTGCGCGAGGCTCGCGTAAATAACGATCGCGCCGTTTCAGAGGGACAGAAAGAGCGGTATACCGCGGGACGCAGACGGAACGAGAAAAAGGGAGACGAGGACGCGGCGCGCGAGGCCGCGCGCGCGCGGGCGCGCGCGGGGCCCACAACGCTCTTCCTGTCGCGGGACTAATTGCCGATACCGCGCGGCCGTGGCGATTGGCACCGGCGCGCGGCGCGTCTGCGTCTGCGTCAGTCGTGTTTCGTACGCCCGACGCGACGGTACGCTGAGCGCACGTCCATTGGAGCGCACGTGGAGCGGAGAGGCCACCGGAGAAATCGCGGCGTTACCGTCCGTCCGTTCGCTCGTCGCCGGGAAGAAGGGTAGAGAAACGGCGCGATGGCCAGCCTGCGGCAGACACCGCTTACGTGCAGCGGCCACACGAGACCCGTGGTCCACCTCGCCTTCTCCGACGTGACCGAGTCCGGCTACTACCTCATCTCTGCGTGCAAAGGTAAACGCGCGAGCCTCGCGCGCCGCTCCGACTTTTCTCTCCTCCTTCCCTCACCGATCCACCGGCCGCGCGGCGTCCGATTCTCGATCGCCTTGGCCCGATTCTCCCCGGCCGCCCCCAAGGCTCCGCGGTGACTTTTCGAGGTTAGACCGGTGCGCGGTGCGTGATCTCTTCCTGCCTGCCGGGGGGAATCGGGACGTGTTGACGTGTGCCCCGCGCGATACGCTCCAGCAAACGCGATCGTTTGCGATCGTTAGTACAAATTTCTCGTCGGCGCTTTCTTCCGCCACGACGCCGTAACGTTCCGCGTAATTACGCCCGACACCGAAAGCTCCAAGTTTTCCAAATGTTTTACGGAATAAGCGCTTCTCAGGCGCACGCTGTATCGTATTACGTTGCAATATAATATTTGACGCAAGATATTTTATGCTTGAAAGGTGTATTTGTTGCACAAAATATTTGGAGAGACCAAAGTTTTGAAAAAGTACCGTATCCTAATATAATATTTAATGTAAAATATGCGAAAGCTGAAGTCTCGACGCAGCTGAAATTGCTTATTTCTGAATTCAATGCGTTGGCAGTTATATTATTTGGGAAATAAGTTGACTTGAATATCCATTCGTACGTGTTTAGGCTAAACGTATTTGTCAGTGGTGCGTATTGAATTGTTGCAAATACAGTTGCATGGGTGAAGTATTTTGGAGCAAACGATTCTTCTTCGTTGTCAGATGGGAAACCTATGTTGCGGCAAGGCGACACTGGGGATTGGATCGGTACGTTTGAAGGACACAAAGGAGCAGTGTGGGGTGTGGCGTTAAATCCACAGGCTACGCGAGCTGCGACCGGCGCAGCAGATTTTAATGCCAAAGTCTGGGACGCGATTAAAGGCGAGGAGGTCCATTCGTTTCAACACAATCATATAGTTAAATCTGTCAATTTTAGTACCGACTCGAATAATCTGTGCACTGGATCCAACGAGAAGCTTGTGCGCATTTATGATCTTAATAAGCCAGAGGCGGCACCGCAGGTAAAATTATAAGCCAGCGATGCTAGAAATACGCTGTACAGACAAACGTCTGGGTTAATATAAAATGACTTGCCTCTTCCTCAGATCTTCTCAGGTCACACAAGTGGTATTAGGCACGTGACTTTCTTCGACAATAACTCTGCCCTAATCACCTGTGCGGACGATAAGACACTGAGGGTGTGGGACAGAAATAGCGGGCAAGAAGTTAAGAGATTAGACTTCCCCGCGATTCCGAGTTCCATGGAAGTGTCGAAGGATGGAAACGTCATTACCACCACTCACTCTAACATTGTTACCTTTTGGGACAGCAAAGAGTACGTAGCACACTTTTCTCTCATAAAAATTGGAAGAGCTACTCCAGACGAAGGAAACCCTCGATTCTTTTCTGGTTTTGTCCCAATTTGGGAAGAAAACACGAGTTTCTTTTTACCAAGCTACCAATACTATTATTATATCGTTAAAGATTCAAATAATATCGAAACATTTTTGCAATAAGGAAGATTATCGCCGATTCTACATGGAAATAAATTTGCTATCCTTTAAATTTGTCAGATTAACCAAGATAAAGGAATTTATGGTCCCGACTCAAGTCAATAGTGCCTGCTTGCACCCGGATAGTACTATTTTTGTTTGTGGCGGGGAGGACTTCAAAATGTACAAGTTTGACTATAACACAGGGGCAGAAATAGGTAAATTCTTTAGTTTATATAATTTAGCAGTTTTTGAAAGCACTCGGTAACTGTATGGAAAACTTGCAGAGTCTTTCAAGGGACACTTTGGGCCTGTACACTGCGTACGCTTTTCACCGGACGGTGAATTGTACGCTAGCGGATCCGAGGACGGTACTTTGAGATTATGGCAGACCGTAGTCGGAAAAACCTACGGGTTGTGGCGCTGCGTAGAACAGACGCCCACAATACAAGAAAATGCCGTCGTAATTAATAACAAACAAGAAGTTCCTGCCACTTAAAGTTGGACCGCAGGGAGAGACAAGAACATCTCCGGATGTCTCTCCGAAGGCCTGTAAGCAGACCTCTCGGATCAAATTCGAGCGAGTGGATGAATATTCTGCAAAATAAAACGCGCCGAATATTTGTTATTTGGGCCGCCGGAAACCCTTGTAAATAACCCATCCTCTTAGAAAGGGATCGCCCGCCTCCACCGTGGCCTTTATTCCAAAACTAACAGTGAGGACCAATTCCAGAGCTCGTGGAGACGCGGGGGATACAGGATTGTTATTTATACTGCGAGAAGGATCAACAATGAAAAAGAAATATTAACATTTATTAACATTATACACGTCACGTTATTATAATACAAAATTAGGTAGAGATGTAACGAGAGAAAGAAAGACAAGTTCGTAACGAACGTTGCATTTGCATTTCTTCCAAGCCGATACCGTCCATCATTTAAGCACATGTAGTGACATATCAGTATGTGACGTTGACACGTACTACACAGCACACATGATATCGCGTGTCTATTTTGACATGCTTTATAATCATTCTCGATCTTAATTTCCGCCATAACGTAATATCACCATAGTGTACATTGCAAGTCTTGCTTGTACGCGCGTTATTTCTGGCAACGATTCTAATTCCCCGCTTTTTTAAAGAGATATCAAATATTTCAATTATATGTAAAAACTTTTAATTGCTTCGACTATTATTCGAAACTAGGAAAGTCTTGACAGATCTTGGAAGATTGGAACGTGATTCTTTAACTCTTAAATGTTTAGAAAATCTTTCTGTAGAAGTTGGGAGTATCGATAACATTAAAAATATAGTGAGGAATATTAACGTAGAGTATTAAAAGACAAAATATCTAAATTTTCGAAACATTTAAGACAAGTTTTCAACACGTTGAAGACTCAACAATTTTTCTGTTTCGAATAATATTCAAAATTGGAAATTGTTGTTATATTCGACATGATCGAATCATGACTACGTGCTAATTTAAAAGGTTACATATCCCGTTTGCGTGTCTTCCTGCTCTCTTTTAGTTTTTCGACGATGCGATCTTGTTCTTCTTCAGTGAACTAAATACTTGCGCCTTATTATCTATATTTACACGCCGACAGGTACTCTTTCTTTTATCTTCCGTTAAGTATCTCCTGCATCTTACATATGTTAAAAACATGCCTACTGTCTCTCCTCGTCTGTCCGCTGTATTTGTTTTTTTTCTTGATAATATCGAGCACGACTGTCCGGTTACGAAATTTTGGGATCGCGTTTGTCATACAGTCTCTCCAAGTAAAGGCAGTGTGTTTTCTGCGTACAATACAATAATCAGTAAAACAAAGTTATGAATTTTGAGTCTTCCCGTCTCTTTCAATTCAGCCGATGAATTGCGAGAGGTCGGGCAGCTTGAAGCCGTTGAATGAGGTTGGCGTCGCTGAACTTCTCAGATTGTTCGTATGTGGCGGAAAACCGGAGAAACCCGAGCCGCTAGGCGTGGTGAATTGTTGTAGCCTCGCATTACTCTCCGAGGCTGCCAACGCGAAGCCGCATTGGGCGGTGCACACATCGTCCCGCAGAATCGCCTCTCGAGATGCCTCTCGCAAAAGTTGATTGCAGTCCGTGACTCTCAGTGAGGCGCATTGCGTCTGAAAGGAGACTTATTTTTAAAATGAACATTTCTTGGAGCTGGAAGAAACCGAAGAGATACGGGCTATAAAAAGATTTATTTGATTGGAGCAACGGAGAGGCCTTGATGCGTTTGTTCTCAATATACTTACGCCTTCATTGGTGCAAACGCAACTAGTGCAAGGTGTAGGGAAGCCAGACTCGCCGACCGCGACGTTTCTTCCGCCGATCTGACAGCCGTGTCTGGTCTCTCGCCAGGCAGAGAAGTCCATGTGAGGCATGGAGCTGCACGGTACGCGTGGGTTCAAGAAATTGCTGGGCAGATCGAACGCCGCTCTCTGCATGTCCGTCTGGTGGTCCATGTTCTCGCACATCACCTTAGCTAGAGTGGTCTTGCGGACCTCTGCCAACTGATGCTCGGTAAAGCGGATGTTTGGATCGTCAGTCTCGTACCAGAAACGATCGCACTTCCTCGACTGTCTGAACTGGATGGCGATGATGCAGGCGAAAGTGGGCCCGACCAAGCCACCCTGAAGCGGCCGCTCGCTCATACCGCCCGGGAAGAGATCGATGTCGTCCACGGAGGTGTATATGCGTTTCATACGAGCTATCACTTCCGGCGCCATTTCTCTCGACAGATCCTCGAATGTAGTGGCCTTCTTCAAGTTACAGAGCGCTCGGTAATGATTGTACGACGGCAATCCGTGGTCACGGGCCCGGTGAACGTTGAGGGCTATCAAATCTACGCCGGAGTGCGGAATACCGCGCTGCTCGAACAGATGATTGGTCACCTCGCCGGTGATGAACTGATCCAACGTCTCCATCGGCGTGGTCACTAGGCCACGGATCATCTCGTCGATCATGTTCTCCTGATAGAGCATGTCCGGATTGAAGAATCCGTCGCGCAGCAGGATAGGCGGGTCGATGTTCTGATAGCTGCGATCCATGCGCGGCAAGTGCGGCCGCAGCAAGGAATGGCCAATTCGAAAGGCTGCGGTGGCGAACTCATTGAGTACACTAGGATTGCAGGTGGGCGAGTATTCCTTGTAGTAACCTTGGGGCAATAACTTGAGACCGTACAAGCTGACGGCGTTCCAGCCAAGGATCCTCGGCAGAAACTCGTTGTACGTGATGTGTTGCAGCATCGCGCTAATGATGCGTCGCGTCTCCTGGAACAGCTTCTCGCCGTCCCAATGGGGATTCACCTGTTTCAAAAATTTTATATTAACGCAAAAGGATGAACTAGCAGTCTGTCGGCAGATTGCTGTAGATTCAATCGGTATATCGCGACTACGTGACGACAGACAGTTTCCTTTCGAATTGACATTTTAATAAAACGGCAAAGAAAGATATTTACCTGCCGCAAACCTTCCATCGCGCGATTGTGCTCGCGTATCCACATGGTGTGCATAACTGCCAGCGCCGGCTGCTCCGAAGCGCGGCCATCACCACCGATGAAGCATAATCCCGATCGCGCTTTGCACTCCGGATGCGTTGGCGACTGCGGCAACAGGTCCCTGCCGCGATTCGGGTGCGACGTGATGTTCATGCGGCCGTTAAAGCCGCGCAGGATGTTGCAGATACACGAGTTCTCGCCGTAGACCACCGACGCGTCCAGGAAACCAGTATTTTGATTTATCTGCTCGCGCGGGCCCAGATGTTGCTGGCCCGGCAACGATCTCATCGACGGGAAACACATACGTGCGCCCGACGAGACGTTCACGGTGGGATAAAAGTGATCGCCCGGCGGCACAGGGAACGGATTGCACTCGGGGTGGACGGTGCGCGGCGAGTCGCATGATCGGCAACTCGGGATCGACTCCGCAAAGCCCTTATGGATGGGTGTCATTGTCAGGTCATGATCCAGGAACTGCGCAAACTGCATCACCATTAGCGTGTAGCGATTATGCAGATTCGATATGTCGGGGTGGATCACAGTGGAGACCACTCGGGGGTTCGGCAGCGACGCGCCGTTAACGGAAGTGCTTCTCGGTTTGGAAACGCCATCCTCGTAAGCGGGCGGTAACAGGCGGGCGAAGGTCGTCAGGGACTTGCCGAGGCTGGGATTGCGCAGATTGTTGCAATGGCCCGACAGGGTTCGGTACGGCGTGGTCGGATCGCATCGGGAATCGTCCACGGGACACTGAACCTCCTCGTGATTCGTCGGCTTGTGATGGTGATTCAGGAAACCGGAGATATCGACGTTCTGCAGCAGATCGGAGAACTCGTTCGTGTTGGGGAAGCCCAGAACGTTCTCCGTGTTTTCGAAGACCTGCCGCCTCCTGCGTCGAAGACCGTGTACACCATTTAGAATCTCATTTGTCGCCAGTTCGTACATAATAGACGAGTTGGCGAGCAACAGGGCGTCCTTGTTGGCCTTGGAGAAGCTGGCCGCGGTGCCGGCGGATGATCTCGGGTCGGCAATTCTCTGTTCCAGCCAGGAGTTGTACTCCAACTGCTTCCGCTCGATCAGCTCTTCCTCAGCTCTCTTCACCGCAGCGGCAAGCACCTCGGGACTGATCTCCGGCAGAAGCTGTATCGGCTCGCCCGTGCTCGTGTTCACCGAGTTATGCTGCATCACAGGAAGCGGCAGCGGATCCTCGGTCCATTCCGCGACGTCCAGGGGTTCGTACTGCTCGCAACTGATCCTGCTGTTCAGGTATTGGTCCTGCCGGATAAACACTCTCGGCTGGATCCTGCGGATGTTGGTGTTGGCGCACAAAATACTGGCGAGAGACACCTTCCTGACCTCGACCAGCTGCGTCGCCGTCAGTCCTGACGGAGGAATGTCATTCTCGTACCAGAAACGGTCGGAATTTCTCATCGTCACAAACTGTTTCTTCAGAAGACACTCGAACGTTGGGCCCACAGCGACGCCCGTGACCGGAATCTCCAAGACACCGCCCACAAGAAGATCCACGTCCTCCACGTTCGCGTAAATCGTACTTAGCAGGTGTGCGTGCTCGGGTCGCATTACTCTCGCTAGATCCGTGAAGTTCTCGATCTGTACCGAAGCGAAATGGTTATTACATGCAACGGTTGTATAGAGACGATAAAAATATGATCGTAAGAACGATTTAAATGACGCAGTTGTACCTACAATCAAACAAATTGGCCCTGTTCATAAACATTTAATTTAAGAGGCCAAAAGTACAGTATGTTTAATAATGTGTTATAATTAATTTATAGCTTCCTATATTCTTCAGGGCCTTATATCACCGCAAGCAAACGATTTAGATTCTCTCTGTATCTTTACTTTAGAAAACTGAAAAGAAAATTAAAAATAATAGCGGTACATTGAAGATAAAAAGTTATGCTGTCTACGATCGCAGGATTATTGTCCTTTTTCATGAAGAAATGGACTTCAGTTTTTCAATATTTGAGACGCCCGCCTAGAGTGTAGGGAGATCCAGGCTCAAACCCTGGCTGAGGTAATATTTTTCGCAATAAATTTTCTGTATTATTAAAAATGCCAGGTTTGGTCAAGAAAACGCCGACGTTGTTAATTACCGCTGGCGACGTTGAAGAATTCTTATCAGTTTCCAATGTTTGCGTGACAGACTGTAACAGAGAATTCGGCAGCTTGCACTAGTGTGCGCACTGAGTGCACACCAAGCCCTTACGGAAAAAACACTCGAGTGTTAACGCTCAAAACTTGAGTATTTTTTTCCCGTAAGGAAGGCTTGGTAAGAGTCTACTCTTATATTTATGGTCGTCTCAAGTACATGCCCAAAAACTATTTGGCCAAAAAAATAATCCGTACGAACGCTAAGCGGATCATTTTACTGGCTAGGAAGTAATTCAAAAAGTATTTAAGACGATTCTTAAATATAAGAATTGAAAACAAGCCTTAGTGCGCACTAGCGCAAGTTGCCGAATTCGCTATCAGTGTCAATTCTCATTGCTTCTTAACACAAACGGACAATAAGTAAGCAAAAGATGAGTGGCTGAGCCACTCGGAAAACGCACATTATTACAATTTTCATACAAATGATGTTGAAATGGATTGGAATGGAATGGATTGCCACTGTTATTGCGAATGTGTGTCATGTATGCGAAATAACACGTATATACTTACATCGTATATATAATATGTAAGTTCTCGACATATTATATATAAGACACGTTCGTATATGTATATGTATAAACACGTACAAACACGGTATATATATACATTGACGGCACGAGTACAGATGTACGGCATACATGCATACTTTCTTAGTTCAGGAGACACTATAACTTTTTATGTACGAGTTTTATCTCTTACTCTCTTATATGTATCTTTCTGCTGAACCTTGTAGAGGAAACCGACATTGTATACCTATAAAACCTATAAGATAAAGAATGGAGTGGAACGAACGGTATCGATCAGGTTGTCATATATATAGTTGTAGATTGTGTAATCTTTGTCTATATTTTGCTAAGTATTTTAAATAATATAAAATACTTGGACATAGAAACTATGCCTTTACAAGGCATATGTGGGGTGACGACTGACGGTGGGACTCGAACTCGGGATCCACCGATTACCAGTCGGTTACTTCCCGAATGAGCCACGTGTCACCCCATTTGTGATTTGTTTGTGGTATCGAACTTACTTTAACGTTCTCTCCCAAACAGTCGGCTAGGAACTTGATGTATCCGGGCACTCCGTGATCTCGTGCAACGTGCATGGACCAGGCGGCCGCGTCTGGCGCGGATGTGAGATCAATGCCATTGGCGGAAGTGATAACGTGACTTTCCAAGTCCCCAATTTTATCGGCACGCGTCCAAACGAGAGCGCGGAGGGCCGCCAGTGCCGCTGCGTGGTATGTACCCGCTTTATTGGACGAAGAGTAGCCAGCGTAGAAGCCGTTGGCGAGTGGCCTGAGCTCGTGATTCACCTGTGCGGCTTCCCGCAATATCGCCGGCACGTACTCATTGAGGGTGACGTGCTGGAGCTGCGCGACGACGATGCGGCGTGCCTCCAAGAAGAGTTTCGTGTCGTCCCAGTGCACGTTCGCCTCCGCTAGTCTCTCCGCCACGCGATTGTGCTCGCGCAACAAGACCCGATGCAGTAGACCGAGCGCATCTCGATCAGTTCGGTTGCATAACTCGCACGTGCTCAGGTTGACCTTGCCCTCCTCGTAGGTCCTGAGCAGATGCAACTTGTCGTCGGTGGCGCCGTAGATACCGGAACCGTCCAGGTACGCCGAGACACCGTTCATTTGCTCCCTCGCTTCGAACTGACAGCCGAGCACCGTTAAACTCGGCACCGATCGCCAGTAGCCTCTGCAGCCGAATCTCTCGTCGCGCATCTCGTAGCACTCCGGATGCTGCTGCACACCGGAGCAGCATTTCTCCTCGGCACCCGCGGAGCGCACCGTGGCAGCGATGTCCTGCAGCACCAGCTCCGACCAGACCCCGGAGAGACTGGTCAAGCCTTCGTGGCTTCCCACCCTCGGGGAGGATGCTAGAACGTAGGAGATGACGTCGCTTGGCGCAGGCAAACTGTGAGTACCCACCGATTGACGCGGTCTTGAGATGCCTAGTGCGGACATGTAAAAATATACGAGCTCGTTAGCGTTCGAAAACTTTGCTCTTTCGCTTTTCGCAATATCTTTATTTTCTTTCGTATTTTTTTAAATCTCTCCTCCATCTTTTTCTTTATCTCGCACAGAATTATATTTTTATCCATGTTTCTAAATTCCCCGCTATCGAAACAAATTGATGGACTGATAAAACAATGCTATTGAAAGTTATGCAAGTCTCGTAAATTGGAGAGAAAGCGACGTTCTCCAGTTTTCAATGTCACGTTGTATCGCAGCGTGACCATAAGTATACATTCTTTAAAATGTTTACGCTACATCAATTTTAAGCATCAATCTTTTTACATTTCATAAATTTCTATTTATAGATAAACGTTATCCAGAAATGAATTTCAATTATTAGCAGGAGAAAATATGTGCGATTGAAAAATATGTTGACAAAGAAAGTTATGTGAAACAATGGAAAGCGAAGATGTATTATGACATTTATACCTCGCATGTTTAATGCAACAGTTAATTGTATTTTTAAAATACGCTCGCGAAGATGTAGAACGCTGTTCTTTCCGGGCAAGCAACTTTCGATCGTTTGCACTTATTGCATTTTGTTTTTATGCCGTGGGTAAGAATGGTTTCTTCTTTAAATAAGTTTCGCTATTGAGACAATTATAACTCTCTAATAGAAAGGATGAATAGCATTAATGAGATTAAATACATTCATGTCAAATTATCTCAGCTTTGAACAGAGGGAATAGAACATTAAAGCAAACGCAGATGTGACGATTGAGAAATTCAAAGAATTTCTCGATGAAAGTCTTTCATACGTATGCACAATAGAAATGAAGGGTGTAACATTATAATATGTATGGAGTGCGAAGTGTGACAATATGAGATAATATACTGGGATGCAAATATTTAGTGCAAGGTGACACGAATGCATCCCACGTTTGAATACGTCGGCGAATTCGATAAGAGAGTGCAGAATCAATGAAATAAAATAATAATTTCGAAGGAGTAAAGGACTAAGAGCCGTGATAGGGTGTTGGTGTCTAAATATTTCATATTGTAAATTGATTGCGAAAAATATTACCTCAGCCAGGTTTTGAACCTGGGCCGCCCTCTCAAAGGTTCAAACCCTGGCTGAGGTAATATTTTTCGCAATAAATTTAAAATATGAAATGTTTAGACACCAACACCCTGTCACGGCTCTTAGTCCTTCAAATTTGTGTTTATCACATTTGAGCCATACAAATTTTATTAATTGAAAATAATAATATTCATGAAATTACCAACAATGCGTTAATTGTGGAGACGGATCTAAAAAACGTCGAACAAGCAATATTTATATAAAACAAATGTGATATTTCATGCGGATGCGCGCGATGACTCACGCTGACGCTACCGGCGAAGGAGCCGCGGAGGAGGCGACTCCTCGTTCGGTCTCGAAAAGTCCAATGTGTGTCAAAATTCTGTGTCATGGTTACGCACAGGCGTCGCTCTTTAATGATCACGCAGTAAGTGTTACACAGCGCCATGGTTTCTTCCTACACAATGAAACGTGGCCCTTTCATTCGTGACGCGCACGGCTCATCAATGATGACGACGGCGCGCTTATGCACTGCGAAACGATTGACTTTTTCATTTCTATTCGCTCTCGTCGACAAGATTTTTCGGCGAGAGCATAAAATTACCGAATACTATTTTAACGAATCGTGATTATTCCTAATTCTGATAATTTCAACATATTGGAACGAGCTTAGAAAAACTTTCTCTTAAATCTCGCCGTCTTTTGATGCGTTTTATCAAACGATTTGTGAAGATCCACTAAAAAAATTTTTGACTTGTATTAAAGTTGACAATTTAAGGTCACAATAATCAGATTTACATGACCAATTCTTTCATTACGTAATATGGGTGATTCGGAAATTTTCACGATACAGTTCTTTCTTTCGTAATATATAACAAGGTGTCTATCTTCTCGCGTGATTGTTCTGTCGTAAAAGCGCAATGAAAATTTATAGAAAGGCATTCAGCGATCATCGAGGTATTTTGGGGTCAACGACGTCGAAAGGCGCCGTCTGGCAACCACTGCCCACAGAAGAACCACAGTCACTTTCTTCGGTCTTCTCACTTTCATATTTTCGTTTGAATTCTTTTCCCGGAGATGGGCGCCAGCTGCCTGCCTTTCCCTCTCTTTCTACGTGCACTCGGACATCGCCGAAAGCCAGGACTCCGAATAATTTGGTAGTGCCAATTTAATTTTCGCTTAGTTAACGCGAAAACGCCAAGAACTCAACCTACTTTAGGCGACCCACTCGTGAAATTCTATTTACAGCTTTACGCGCGATTGTTATACGAAATATATTTGGGGAATCAGAATATACGACATTAGTATGTGTGTGTGCGTGTACACGGAACAAAGGGACGTTCTTCTTTTGAAAATATCTTTAGTTTCAACGTGAAAATCTTGAAATGGGATTATATCGCGTTAAAGGAAGAAAAGCTTGAATAAAGCAATTTTACATAATTTAATCAAGAAACATATATGCTTATTACTTAAAAATAATAATTTTCTTGAATGAAAAGGAAACAATATTGGATAGAAAATAACACATTTTTAAATCGAAGATTATAATGATTAAAATGAATTTATTGTCAAAATAATTATATGTATTCTTAAAGTGACAATTATAGTATTTCAACAAGACTGCAATATTGTTGGAGTGTGAGATTATTAAGTGCTGCTGAGAAGAATGTCGATTGTTGCGTATATACGAAACAATGATCGCGTTAATGTGAGTCTATTTTTTCTGCGTATATAAAATTAATTATATTGCTATACACATTTATATTATATATTTAAAAGCATATTGATAAAATACGTGTCAAAATTTACGCGTATATTTTTGTCTATAATTTTACACGGAGGGAATTTTCTCTTAAAATTTCTCCATGAAAATCATGCAATCGTGGGGCAATATGGCATTTTGAAAAATTGTATAAGTTTTTTACCATACGTATAAGAAATTTTACTATACATTCTCTACTAGTAAAACGTATACTAAGCATAATTACTAGTGAAATGTACAGTAAAATTTCGAAATTTCGTCAAAATGCCGTGTTGTCCCACGATTACATGATTTTCAAAATAAATGTTAAGGAATTCTCTCCGTGTATACATGTGTGTAAATTATAAATTTTAAGTACAGAGTCATGTAAGCGATTGAGCTAATTAACTTGATGATTTATGCTCTCACAATATCCACACTTCCACGTAGTACAACTGGCAATTCTAGATCCGGTTTCGCATATATAATTCGTATAACAACAACGTTAAACACATTTCTGTAATATTAGTCGTAAGAAATGAGCGGGGGGGAAAAAATATTCACTATTTCATTTCAAAATTTATACCGTGTTCAACAAAAGATACGATTTGACGTATAAAAGCGGTCATGCACACGCATTCAATCCGTCGTAAAACGACGTCGTCCCGGAAAGAAGGATAGAAGTAATCGAAAGATTAGTACACTGAGAAAAATGTCCGATTGAATATAATCGGATAATCCAATTACATGATAACGAACGGATATATCCGATTAAATTGTATATCCGATGAAAAATTTGATCGGTTTTTCAATCAAATTTCATCGGTAATTGCATTTCATCGGATATATCCATAATTTAATCGGAAAACGTAATCGGAAAAATTAACCATCGGACATACTATTTAATTGGTTTATCCGATGAAAATTTTTCTCAGTGTACCGGGCGGCGTAAAGAAACAAGCCCCGACGCTCATGCCCGCGGTGAAGAAGCACGCGACCGGAGGTAGGAAGAGGCCTTTTCTTTCCGGGAAAAACCGGGGGGGAGAGGATGAAAGAGAGAAGTAATGGTGTTACGCAGCGCGAGCACGTAACGGCCGGCACAAACGATCGCGCGCGCTCGCTCGCGAGGATCGCGAGATCTTCTATTATTTTATAGTGTCCGCGTGTTGCGTGTGCACACACGATGTCGCAATTGATATAGCGCGCACGGGCGGGGGAGAGAGAAGACCCAACTCACGAAACTCTCTATTTCAACGGGCCCCCGAGCACGCGCGCGCGCCTTTCCGCATGCTAATCCGCGTTCTCTAAGGCCCCCTAAGAAGGCTGCGCGTATCGGCCATACCAAACAAGCCGGCGTCAAAGTGGATCTAGGCTCGCTTGTCTAGGTAGGCTAGCACGCGCGTTCCAATTTTCACTTTCCATTCTCGATGCTGCATCAATCGGGGGGGAACAGTATTACGATAATAGTGCAACGACGGAGGCCCTTGTTCCTATCAATTTCTCACCCAAATGAAGGGAGGCCGTGGCGACTCGCGATATAATGTTTTATTATTAATTTGGTAACGTTCCTTCCTTCACTTTCAATATTCAAATTTATCATTGCGACCATTACGAATGCCAACGATGCTGCCCCAGTGCGACCGCTAACGTCGAATCGACGTCAGTGAGGTCGAATTACTACCCTAGTAGCACAGAGCATTGGCTAAATATTGGTTGTATTAGAAATGCATTGGCCAATCTTGCCCAACGTAAAGCCAATATTGGCCGTGAAATGAATGTACATGTTGCACGATAATAATTATATAATATTAGATTTATATTGGACATGCATTGGCCGATATTAGACCAGTATTGCTAAATAGACATATTAGCTAAATAAGAGAAGGCGTCCATCTTACATTATTGAACCGATATTGGAAATGCTAGATTTAATTTATTTCCCATTAGTTTCCTAGCGGAAAAAATTTCTATAGATAACTACAAAAAATTGACTTGAAATAGAAATTTGTAGAAATTTTTATATTCGTTGAAACATTAATTTTCTTGTAAAAATATCTACGAAATAGTACCGCAAATTACAATGTTCTCAAATCAAGAAATTGTTGCAAGTAGTATTTCATAAAAATGTACAATTTTGTAAAAATTAGTACAAAATTTTACTAGTTTTCAAAATTTGAGAAGCAACAAAATCTTAAAGAATTAAAGCATCTGCTTACTTGTAGAATATTACAAATATTAACAAAAGTGTTCCAATTCTAGCATTTTCATGTTGATTTTTATAACACTTTTTAAATTTACGTAGAATTTCTTAGATTCTGGTAGTATACATATTTTTTTGTAGAATGTTGTAGAATTATTTCCGGCAGGGAAATAATAGACTTATAATATTTCATTTTATACGAAGCACCGTGTCGAAGATATTAAAGATATATTGTGCACTTTCTCACCATCCGAATACTCCGGTGGTAGTAATTTGAGGAACGGGGAACCTCTGGCACCCCAGGCAGGGTGTCTCACATTATTGCAAACACCGGAAGGCGTCCTGTACTTGCTCGGTGGACAAGGTCTGTCTGATCGGATTCTGCAGGTTGCGTTGACCGATTGTATCTTGTTTGTCCGCCTGGAGAAAGAAGCAAACTTTAATCATTTCCGGACGATACGATCAATCGAACAGCGATACCGGAGCGAATTCAACAGCAAACGTACACTAGAAATCACTGATGCCTTCCCACGTGAATTTGCATCACGCATATCGACACATTTATACATTTTGCATATACATACATGGAAAGTGTATATGTGTTCTGCATGTGCCTAAATTCATACGGGAAGACATCGGTGATTCTTACACGGAGAGAATTTTCTCTTAAAATTTATCCTGAAAATCTTGTAATCGTGGGACGACGTGGCATTTCGGAGAACTTTATGAAAGTTTTTTGAAATTTTACCATACGTTTTACTATTATAGTAAAATGTATAAAGATATATTGTGCACTTATGAGAGTTTTTTTAAATTTTACCATACATTTTACTATTATAGCAAATTTTACTATTAAAGTAAAATGTATAAAATTTTAAAAACTCTCATAAAGTTTTAAAAAGTATCATATAGTTCTTCTCATAAAGTGCTTCAAAATGCCATGTTGTCCCACGATTACATGATTTTCAGGGTAAATTTTAAGATAAAATTCTCTCTCCGTGTAGTGTACATACGTTTGGGTGATAAGAACTGATAAGGGTACGTTTTAAATCGTAATTTCTTCGAACCTTCGATCGTAAAAAGAACCTAACTTTTAAATCTCTTCGATATCTTAAATCACGTGGTGCAAGATGCATGCGAATATACTATAGAGGTCACTTAAAATTTCCAGGAATGTCTCCTGTAATTTAACACAGCGTACGTAATAGTCTATTATTAGAAATTGCCACTTGACACTCGAGCATTACAGAGTGAATATAGCAATCTTTCCCCCACAAGTATATCAATCAATTTCCTGTAAAACAGTAATTGTTTGTTAACATTATATAGCTATTACTTCCACTTCCACCATTCTTTTGTCTCTATCGTCTCTTTCGTCTTTACATAACGTATCTCCCTTATTTTCTTTCTTTTTTTATTGCAATCGTCGCGATATTCTCGCTGGGCTTGGAATTATTTTCTGAATTTTACAGTAAAACAAAATGAAGAGAGGATACTTCGTTATGGTTGAAGCTCGTCTTGTTGGAGAGAAATAGATAAATGTTACTGAATACATTTGTTTCTTTTTTTTTCGTAAAAGTGCAAGTGTTAGTTTACTGTCCGAGCAAAATAGAATGGGGAATAATTTGTCATAATTACAATAATTCGCGGATTTACCGAAACGAAGTTTTGTGCAAATAAAAATCTCGTAAGAATTCTTTTTATAATAATGACGATACTTGTCATGGCGGTGTAAAGCATAAATGTTTTGCTGCGCCGGCAAGACCTTCCCCCCCCCCCCCTCACGTCGCGGATCTCGCTATCTATATGCGTCCTTTCGCTCGAGGTGGAAGAACGGAATCCAGTTCCGCTAGAAGTTGTACGCGTCCTTCCTGCTCCATTTCCCCCTTTTTCTTGCGCACGACGCACGCTTTTACTTTCATGGCCGAGGAAAGGATCGGCCGATCCGGCATCGGCATTTCAGTCACGAGGAAGATTTCTCGTGCAACCATTGCCGCCGCTATTCCCTTTCCTCGACCTCGAGAAGGCTGCTGGTCACGGGAGGAGGCGTGCACGCACGGGCATTGCGAGATATGCCGTGTATGTACACGTGGCCATGATCGCCGTCGTCATGATTGTCGTTCTCTAATGTCGCCAGCCCGTCGAAGCACGTGCGACAACTCGTCGATCGAGTCAATAAACGAGAAATCCATTCTCGTCGTGGAAAAAAGATTAATAGAACTGTTGATACACGAGTTACTTCCGCTGCGATCGGCGCTTTTCCATTTGGAAACAGATAAACAGACTCTCTTTTTGACGAATCTGTATCGATTATAATATTTCTTTCTCTTTTCCTCCATTGGCGAAAAACACGAGGGTACGATGTGCGTAACGTTTTTTTTTCTATTACGTCAAATCTCCAGGTTTATTTGAAATCTCTTGGAAACTTGTAGGACTTTGGTGCTGGCGCCTAATAATATTTGCCGAAAGAAAGAAGAGATTTGAAAAATTTATTTAAAAAATTAACAGTTTCCTTCTTTTTGTTATCGGCACGTAAAAATATATGCAACTTGTAAACGTCATCGGCGGAATCGATCTCCTTCCCGGTAAAATCAACGGCATTCCTACGAAAGGACAGTCAACACTGTTCGCCTTTAGTAAACGGCGGTTTTACAGCGATGTCTACATCTCGGCTTCCGTTATGCATATTGATTCAGTTCAGTTTCTCGAAAGAGAGAAGCCAAGCTTCTACGCTAAGCTGTCACTAATTATAATATTAACGCGCGTCACTTTATCTCACCCGAAACGTCCGACGTCTCAATATTTCACGTTGGCCACGATGCAAATAGATTGCATTCTCGTGCACCTTTACAGCGATTTCATGCTAATTGCTGTTAATAAATGTTTAATCACAAAATTAAGTGTTACGCAAACCGTTGGCGCGCCGACTGTCTGGCTATTTTCATGAATGTCACTGCCAGACGTCACGAGATAGCGATACATTAATAAAAATCCGCATCGTGCATATCGTAACGTATTTTTAAAAAATCCCGAAATCTTCCCGATGCGAAGGATTCTTCTCTCCAAAATCGATCTCTCGCAGGATGTACGCGGGGAAAATTCGACGAACGCGTCTTTACGAAAATCAATATCCCCTCCGTGTTATTTGACATGAAAAAAAAAATAGATAAATTTTATTCGCCTTCGTTATCATTTATATTGCTATCGCCACACAATCGCAATATCGTATAAACCAAACCGTTTCACATCATTCCAATTCGTTCATTCATAGAAATTGCTTACTTTGCGGGTTACACATTCGTATAAACCCACGCGATTTAAAGTGATTTATCACCTCCGAGAAGAATGCCCGACCTCATAAAACTGTGCGTAACAGAAAGTAATAAATCAACTTTAACGTATGAGTACCTTTAAGTCTCTCATCGAGCTAATATACATGTTATTATAAGGTTACAAATCTCGTTTATTTGTATATTTCAGAGAGATTAGAGAAAGTGATAGATATCGGTATCAAAAATTGTCACCGTCCTTATTTCCTAATGAATGGCGTCTTGGATAAAGATAGAGAAATAACATTCTGGAACGTTTCTCTTTCTTGCGCACCAGAAAATCAATTTCTCATTAATTACAGACGATCGGAGGAGAGAAGGAGAGAGAGAGAGAGAGAGAGAGAGAGAGAGAGATCCGTTTGTCCTTGACGCCCACAATGGCATCTGTTTTTTTTCTCTCTCACGATCCGATCGTGACCCGACTTCATTATACATTCGGCTACGTGCGTGCGCGCACGCATACGTGGCTTTCGGAATTCCTGTACTATCACGGATCTTATTGAAATAGACAGATTATATAAACGTCAGTTTGGCAAAATTTTGCATTTCGCCGCGAGAATTCGCAAAAGTAAAATAAACCGGATCGTAATATATTGCGGTCGTTAATCGTACGGCATGACTGGAAAGTACGCGCGTTTTCACCGGGTTGCATTTCGCAGGAATTTATGGGAGACAAAATACTTTTTTTCTTAACGAAATTCGTATCTTCGAAAACTGAGATTAACTTACGATCGATAGGCGAATCTCTCCGCTTCGATGGCCGAGCGTGCTCTCGCTTGCAAATCATGATCTATCCCGTAGATGTACTCTGTAACGAGAAATATGCAGATCGTTATAAATATTTATGTCTTTTAATTTACACATGCGCATAAAAACGTTACGAGCATTGACATCTAAACTATAAAATTAATCTTTCTAAATAAGAGCTTTTTCGACGGTTGTGATTTTGAAGAGCTTTGGTTCCTTAAGAAGTGATATCTAATGGTGTTAGGGTGTTAGGGTGTTAGGGTGAATCGCTTCACCCGCAATAGCAATCGCTCTTGTGGGAAAAAGTCAGCGACTTTTAAGTCACGCGCAGTGATATTTTTCTTACATATTTCAAACAGAAAGTATAAATAAAAAATCCTTGACACACATAGGTGTTTCAAACGTGTATCGTGTGCCGTGATACCAATTGCCAAACACGCGCACGCACGACAAGATAAAGATACGTAAATGAAAGAAGCCACGCGTAATGGCCCAAGTTAAATAACGATCACGCTTATTGAAATTCTTAACGAAGGATTCCCTCCGTTCCAATTCGATGTAATCTTGCGCCGTTACGATTCTAATGTCTCATAGGCCGATTTTACGTGCCGACGTGAGAGCAGTCTCACTATTGTTCTTCGTTTCCTTCAAATTGGTAACACCAACCCGCTTCCTCCCTTACATAATTAGCATTTCAGCAATTCGCTCTCAAATAAACGACCAAAAAAAACGTACGTTAATGATGCAGAAAATATTTCACAAATATTCCTACATATTGTACACATACAGGGTGTACTAAAACCACCGGATATCCTCTTTTAATCATGAATTCTTTAGAAACTTTCGAGACAAAAATTCTAATACAAAAATGTTGAGGCTATAATATAAATTTTTAAATAATAAGCGATTACATTTCACAAATGACAGGCCTGAGATTTCGCGCGCTCAGGTACGGCGGTAAAAGGATATCCGGTGGTTTTAGTACACCCTATATATCGATTTTTACAAAGTATTTTATTAATTATCGGAGAGAGAGAGAGAGAGAGGGGGGGAGAGCGCGCAATACACGCAACATACGCACAGTATATCTCGATAATTTTTTTTTTTTTTAGTGAAACTACATGTGAAGATTGGCATGTTCGATTAATAGCCGATAAAAGAATTACACGCTACTACTTCGCCAATCACACAATCATTTCTTTTGCACAAGACCAATTTGACGGGTACATCCTGAAAAACGCTAAACGATTCCTGAGAATTACAAGGTTACCCAAGGTGTGTTTTCTTGTAAATTATTCAACGTTTCTGTCCGAAGGTGATACGCCGGTTATAAAGGTTGACACTGGTCAATTACGTTTATGCAAATGTAATAGATACATTAATCGGAATGGTCACGGTTTTCTTCTTGTTTTACTGTTAAAGTGGCAAATAACCGTGATACATAAATGAAGCCTGCTATTTTGTCTCATCGCATACTCCGTAAAATATCTTCAAAGTACATGAAGAAAGGATAGAAAAGGTAGTAAACTATGCAAAGAAGCGTTAATACACGCGCTTCTTCTAAACCTTCGTGCAAACTTTCGAAGTGTAAAAATTATTACTTTGTAAATGCCGATCTTGCGCATCTTTTTTTGCAAAGCAGACGTTTGTCGGATTTTATTGATCATCCGGCTGGATGTATCCGCCCAATAGATTGTACATACATTTTCCGCGTGCATACATTGACTATAATTATCATTATCCCCGTACGTCGGCATAAATCATTCTCGACGTTACAGTGCGTCCGGCTTAATTTGCTTGACAACGTCGCGCGTTAAAGAAAATGATAGTTTAGGCATGCTAAGCTCTTCTTTCAAGAATGTAAGACAGTTTGCAAGGATGCTGCGGACAGGGATTGAAAAACCTCGCGGCGACGCAGGTCCATGGGGAAATCAGGCCGCGGGGTGTTAGCGTCACCTCGCTAAGAGTGGCGCACGACATGAATGAGTAATATATTAACGCAAGACGTAATGCTCTTTTTTTTACGGTAAAATGCGCTTACCGGAAATATCGAAGTGGCTGACTGTCGACGGTAGTGCTGGCACCACAATAACTAATATACACAGCAGTACCAGGCTGCCTCTGAAACCGAAACAGAGAGACACAATCACTTATCCATATTAAAATAATCTTAGGGGCGATTGTTCAGCAATGCGATCAAAGTTTCAATATTTTAACCAATAAGAATATTCCTAAATGTCGCCTCAGTGGTCGAATTGGTGAGACGCCCGCCTAGAGTGTAGGGAGGTCCAGGTTCAAACCCTGGCTGAGGTAATATTTTTTACAACAAATTTCTGTATTATTACAAACGCCAGATATGGTCAAGTAACACTGACGTTTTTAAACTTTTTTTTCGTATTTAATATTTTAGCAAGACTGATATATTTTTATTAATAGTAATATTTCGTATAATGACTACACCCTTGTCCACCGCGAAAAGTCTCGGTATAAATAGTATCGAAGAAAAAGTTAAGCTAAAAACAGAATTGTCCATCGTATTCGTGAAAATATATGGCGTACAACGACATTGCAAATGCTTTCAGGTAGTCGTATGTACTTTCTCTGTGAGGAGAAAAGAGAGACAGAGAGAGAGAGAGAGGAAAAAAAAGATCAAGAACAAACCGATTGAATTCGTCGCGTTCCCGACACGAGACATTGCTTACGCTCGTTTGTTCGTTCTAGTTTCGATTTTGTCCATTAACAATAAGAGTTGATCTTCGTTTTCATACAACTTCGAATTATTTTACTCGATTACATATCACACAAATTGAAACAGAACATTATAACAATTAATATAACACTCTTAAGTAGTGACAGCATTGTATAAATGTTGCAACGTTAACAGAAATTGTATTTTACATTGTACGATTTCAGTAAAAGATACATAAAAATACAAAACAAACTTTATGAGGATGGACAATGCTATATTCGCAAATTTGAAACTGATTTGTTCTTAGTGAATATCGCAATTGGCTCAATAATGAAGTCTTGAACAAAATGCAAATATGATAATTTAGCGTGATTTAATGAAGCCCAAGAACGTGAGATTTACGAGAAAGCCTGCAATCTTTTACGCCATATGGTTCACTGGTTGTATTTCTGATAAATGATCGCCGAGGAAAAGTTCATTTACATGAAGAATGTCTCATTGGCCGTAGGGCACTTTTCTAAAGACTCTTATATCTCACCTACGCGTAAAGCAACGACAGATACGCGAGCGTATATATTTCAAATTGCATCTCCAAGCAAGGATTATTATATAGATATGTGTGCACATGACTGTATGATTGAGAATTGTTGGCTTTCGACAATAACGTACGTAGATAAACGAACGTACGGTTGTCTTGCCGCCTAACGGGCATTTACAGGCCAATCGAGATCAAGAGATGGCAGACTACGTGCGTCTAGCAGAATTTTCTTGCTAGTAGAAGAAGGTAAATATCTTTCCCGCACGCGCTTCCTCCTTTCTGTATCCGCGGGCTTGTACAGCTGTCTTGAGATGAAGAGAGAGTAGCCGCCTCTCTCGCGTATTTCGCATACACGTTTTTCTTTTTCAGCTTTTTAACGTATGTAATTTATAAAGGATTTTTTGAAAATACATAAACAGGTAACGTTATAAAATAAGCAAAATACTAGAAATACTAAACATATACGTGAGTGATCTTGAAGACACGTTTAACAAAGTATTGCATTTTTCTGCTATATTAACATCTCCGATATAATTTTCTAAACGTAATTTTTGTATGTGAAAAAAATAGCGATATAACGTAATCGTACAATTGTTGTACTTTAAGCATTGTTTAAATTAGGAATGAACATGATTAAAGTCTGGAATCGAAAAAGATGCATTTAAATAAGGGGGATACACTTTATTATTTTATATGCGTACTCTCTAAAAGTCAAACAGTGGGTCATCACTGAAAACAGTGAATATTCACTGATTCACAGACAACTGTTTTCAGTGATGATGCACCGATTGACTTTTAGAGAGTAGACACCTTAGTACTTGTTAGATAATAAGTACAATCTATCCGGAAGCCATTACTACTCAAGTACAAAATAATATAATTAAGAAAGTTACGGACGCATAAGACTTATTATTTTCATCTTAAAACTTCGGGGGGATCAACCTGGAAAAATTCCGGAATCAACATTCTCGATTTTCAATAATGTCGCGCGACTTCTTTGTAATCTATCTCCAATTTAAATCGTTGAAAAAAAGTGGCACGTATATTTTTTAAATTATTTTTCATATCTATTTTTCCATATCTAAAATATTTTCTTGTATGGAAAAATAAACTACTAACAAAAATAATGAGTGAATTTGATTACAAAGGAATGGTAGATGTAGTGTACAACCATTATTTAAATAAACAAGTAAACGTTGAATAAAATAATATAAATTTATCCAAGTTGAAAAATGACGAAGAATCCAAACTGACAATTAATTTTTCATTATTCAGAATCGACACGTTCTCCGATTAACTTTATTTATTGCAAGAAAGACTATTTTAATTTACTTTCACGTAAAATTATCCGATTGTAGCCTCAATAATGGACCAGCTTTTACAACGCGACGGTGTAAAGTATGACGTCGCCCTACGAGATAAAACACAGACGCAGACGGCGGACCCGGACAGTTTTCCGTTGCGTGTATCGCGAGAAGTCGCAGTCATGAGGCGTGCGCACACATACACACACACATATACAAATGATAATTCAGTGTCAGTGGGTCAACGGAACTGGAGAAATCTTTCTCAGGGATCCGATACGCACGCGGGTCCTCGGGATCTCGTGCCTTGGGCGGCGATGGCCATACCTCCGAAAAGTATCGTTTCGCGGGGTACATAGCGCGGTAGCTCGAGTGTCATCGAGAGAAGTCGAATCCCAATTAGACGTACTCGTAGGAATAGTGCGATTTCTACTACGTAAATATCGTTTCCCTCCCCCCTCCTTGTATTTTTGTTCAAATAAAACATATGTTTAAAAGAATAAAGATACAAAGGAAATAAATTTTTTAAATTGCTCTTAGAAATCGAATCCCAATTAGACATACTCGTAAGAATAGTGCGATTTCTACTACGTAAATATCTCCCTCCCTCCTTGTATTTTTGTTCAAATAAAACATATGTTTGAAAGAATAAAGATATAAAGGAAATAAAGTTTTTAAATTACTCTTATTATTATAATTCTGTCCGTGGGCAAATAACTTGAAAAATACGATAATATCTAATAGTCACTTGATGAATCTGACGAATGAAAGTGTAGGTTTTTCTAAACAACCTTTTAATTTCATATGTATTGTAGATATATACTTTTATATAATTACATATTATGCGTGTGTCTACGTGTGTGCGCGCGCATGAAGTCATATTTTATAAACAATATTGTTAATCATATATTGAGATTATTTAGATTACTTTTCGCAAGATATGTAATAAGAAATAACATATTTTAATTTCCTGTCGGACGTGAAACGGATTATCATGAATAATGGAATCACTGTCAATGAAATGGATCACTGTGAGTAAATGTGAATAAATGAATAAAGAAATTCTTCGCGATGGTAAGTGCCGGGATAACGGCGATGCTCTCGAGGAAATAGACGCGGGTGAAAGTGCTAATGGGACATTCGCCTAGAGATCATCTCGACGGCACGTTCGCCCCAGAGAAAAGCAGCCTGTCCGTAGTACAACTGCTAGGATATTCGAAGGTCATCTCTTATAGGATCGTAATAATGTCACGAGCACGACATTCCGCTTGCAAATTTGCCAAATTTTACTAGACGCGCATCGAGAGTTATGTCCTTCGAATCAGGAAGTGAAAATCCAAGGTAGATCATCCGATAATCTTGCAGAGACCGTATCGAAATTATCGTTAATTAGATTTCTACATAAAGATATGATAATAAGTACCTCGTACCTCAAATACTTTTTACTCTTCTTTACTCTCCTACTATTTTCACATTTTTCATGTGACCATACGTGTAGAGTGAACAAGCAAGTATATACTTTGGCATGCAACCAACGGTAGTTTTATTCTATATGTACGTCATTAAAACGGGAACTAAATTTTTTTATTGTAAGAAATGAGAAATTCTTTCTAGCCCGACGAGTTTAGAAATGAAAAATTCAACTGTGTTTCGCTGAATAATTTATATTCATGGTTTTTACATCGTAATTACACAATTCTGTTAAGGTATGGTATAATATCGTCCATTATAGTTAATGTAATTTTTCACGTTAGCATGATTTAAAAAAGTACTTAGAATAATGCAAAGAAGTCTCGAAATCTCGATATGTTTCGCACATTCCAAATTTTCGTACGCTCAGATTGAGGATTTATATATAGAAAAAAAGTGCTTTACCAGCTTTCGTCAGACAAGAAAACAAAGGTCGACGCTACGTCCATGGTTTCGACACTTTGATAGAAATTTCATCGCGCTGACATTGAAAGGATTTCGGTTTGAATACGTGATCGTTTTGCGGATCGAGACAGCGCAGGTGACGATCATTTCTAAACGAATTCTTTCGTCTTACAACATCGCAAATCGCTGTAACCGACACGAGTATAACGTCGCCATCCTGCCTTCGTCTTCGGGTTTCTCCATTTTATTACGTTCATTTAGCCGTCGTAATAAACATTTACGAAAGACGAATTATACGGATCTATCGCGGTAAAGATATTTAAGGATATTCTGTCAATCAACGTCTTCTGACAATGAACATTGTTGCAATATAGGTAAAGCATAAAGGAAGAAAAGAGTACAAAACGGATCTTTATTCAGTTCTATAGTGATCGCATAGACGTTACTGCAATACAATACATAAAGCTATAAAATACCCATATCTAGTAATAGCATACAGAATTCAATAATTAAATTAAATTTGTGAAAGTTTAATATGAAATAACTGTATTTTTATTGGCGCGCTCACAATGAAGTATTTACACAGCAAAGAGTAAAAAATTTTTTGTAAAAGTACATAAATTTATATATAGAAAAATTACTAAACGACGCTAACTGGCCAATTCTAATTAAAGAAATTTATTGCGAAAAATAAAAATTTCGCAATAAATTTCTT